AAAAACCCAAACAAAACTCTCTTTGAAAAAAGTGGGTTAATATTTTTTTAAAGTTGTTCTTGCTCAACTGTCTTTTCATCTACTTTGAAATGTTCTTCAGATGATTTTCTGATACCGCATAAAAGACATGTTATCTTTACATTACGTATGTATTAAATCCTAAATATATCTAGTTTATTCTAGCCTTTCAAATGCTACATTGGTAATTTTAATTTTATTTTTTTTACCATTAGGCTTTAAGACACTAAGACTTTTTGCATATTTTTATCAGAAACGAATATCTTTGAGGTGTCTAGTCAACATACAAAATTTAAAAAGATGCAGCAGACTCTTGTAAAGACAGCTTACCTTGTTCTGGTTTTCTAACAATTGCGATTACAGCATTTCAGTTTTAATGCCGGTTTCATGGGTTTTCAGGCTTTTGATTTATATAAATATATACCTCTATGTACTTGATGAGATTAAACATTTTAAAATACCTGGATAACAATTGCTTGTAGTGATTTAATACCTGATGATGGTCAAATTTTAGTGTGATTAAGAGGAAAATCCAGTGTCTTTTGATAATAATTCTGTCCTTATTTTAAATGATTCTCTTTTAATATGGAAAAAAAATGAGTTGTATTTTCTTAGCATTTAAAATTAATATTTTAATAAGAAGTTGCAAAGTATAAATACAGAGGACTATTTTTAACTGTTGTATATCTTGATTTAATGATGCTGAATGCATATATGGTACACATTTTAATTGCAGACATGGACATCAGAGAAATGGCATCTTCCTCAGGTCAGATATGTGATTGACCTTGATTTCATTGTGGCTTTTTTGTATTTACTGTGGATTACATCTCTAACAAACAGAACCACTCAGCATCTTCCATATAAACTCATGATTTAATAATAGATCACAGTCCACATCTCATTTTTCTTTTACTTGCTTGAAACATTAAGGTTTACCATTTCAGCTACTGAATTATGCAAAGCTTTCTTCATCAGTTTGAAGCTTCCATTGTGAATGCTCCTGACTATTATGGTTTCTTTCCCTTTCTTTTGCAGGTTTTACATTTTCACATAGTTATTTTAAAGCAGATGGTCGTCTGTGCTTTCAGTTTCTTTATGTACTTTTTAATTTGTATTTCTTTTCACAGATGAAGATGATACTTCAGTTAGTACTCCACCAGCAGGTTAGGACTGTGATGGTGCTTTGTGTGTGTATGTATGTATGTATTTTTCTCTCGACTATTAATGAAGAAAGAGCCCAAGCCATTGGACTGAACTCAAAACATATTAATTAGAAAAAGTTTTGTGAAGTGCCCTACATTAAATTAATCTCTTTTCAGAAGTACAAGACCTTCATACAAGATAAATTCCTTTCCAGTTGTATCTTGAGGTCTTTAGTAGAACTTCTGCCATTGGAAGGTAAAATATCAGCAGCTCTGGAAGCAACTCCCCTTATCTTTTCCTATCAACAAAGATGAAGGGCATTTTTAAGGTTAGATTTGCAAGAAAATTCCAGAATTACAAATAAAACAGATGTCTTATGACTTCAAAACAGGCTTATCCACATACTTGCATATCACGTCACCTTAGGCCATGTGACCTACAAGGTAGTTTGAATGCACTGTGCCTAGCCATTCCTGCCAAACTGGCAGATAAAATGCCTTTGACTGTTGGCAGTAAAAGAAAAGCAACAGCACAGGGCTCCATCATGATGGATGTGACACGGGCAAAATTTCTCCATTCCTTGCTTAATATGTTTTTTAAAATAGACTGTGAGTGAAACAGAGATCTTGAACAGTAGAAAATGCTTTCCAGTGTGTCAAATTAAAAACATCCCCTTTATTTTCTTCACTGTCCTAAATGATCACATTTTATTGATTTCTCCCAAAAGAATTTGCATTATTAATTTTAGTTTGTATGTCATCTGTAAAGTCAGTAGCAGTACACTGATTTACAGTAGTAGAGAATCCCACTGGTAAAAGCTAAATAGATAAATAACATTTTAAATTGCAAAACCCTAAAATTTCATTTTAACTATTTATCATTATTTTGCTCAACCAAGATAAATAAATAGCCTACTTAAATAACTCAAAGTAGCGCCCCCTCAAATAAATATTGAACAACCTAAATTCATCTGTTATCTGGAACCACGCAAATCATGAAGAAAACATCAGCTTCACAGAACCTTTTAAACATGAACTACTAAAAAGGAAATCTTGAATGGGAATTAAATGAAACTAATTTAGATTTTCTAGAGAAAAGGGGGAAAGCCTTCTGAATTTTTTTCTCAGCTGTTCACTTCCTTTTTCTGGTAATCAAATAGTTCCTCATGGATCTGGTCCTAAATATCTAGCCTAATCTTCTTGCATGAAGAATCAGTGTTCCTTAAGTCCCAATGATCTGAGGTCAGTTAAGCTGTGATCCCTGAGCTGGTGTCATCTAAATTGCTCTTCCCTTTCAGATGGGATGTCTAAACCAGCGGAAAGAAAAGATTCAGGTGAGACCTCCTGAAAAACACGTTGAAACAATCCAAATTTTACATAATACAATTATTTTTACTAAGTTATTTCTTTAAAATTATATTTAATTTTAATTGTTTATACAGTATCAAACCCTAACTGTTGAAATGCTTTTAGATTTAGAGCAAATAGGTTTCTAGCAGCTAAAGCAGGAGTGAGAGAAGGCTCTGCTGCACCAGACAGGACAGACACGTGTCAGTATTTTGCACATACATACATACCTATCTATCTATATCTATTTCTGTATAGATAGATATGCAACTATTCCCTTCCTCCTCAGCCTACAGTGACAGTGGCTTACCTGCATCCCACCCACAGGCTCCAGGAGACTGTAGGAGAATGGCTTCTTCTCACAGCTCAAAGGACAGTGGGCAAAACTTAGAAAAAAAATCATAACCTCTTTCTTCCTACCCTGGCAGGTAACGCATACTGCACCCACTTTTGTGGTTTCAGGATTTGCAGCCTCTGGAACAAAATGAGCAGCAGGTACTTCAACCATGGTTATTGACCTGGCATAGCTGCCTATGCCAGCCCCCTGCGCCAGCATCAAACCCACATTTCGTTCCGTTTGTTTAATAAATAAGAAAATCTTAATATCTAAAGGTGATGATAATATTTAGGTGTTATTTTATGTGGTATTGAATTAATGACTCATTGTAAGCTTCTTCCATTTATTAAGCTTTGTCACATCATTTTATTCATACCAGTAACTTTCACTCATTCTTATGTTGTTTCCATACACTGGCATGTTATACTGGCATAATCTAAACATCTAGATTATAGAGAGTATATATAGATGTGTATCTATATATATTTGTGTTCATGTATGTCTGTGTATATGTTTTCATATAAGTGTATATACATGTGTGTATATACATGTATGTCTTTACCTGCAAGAAATATTGTACAAGCAGACATATACAGAGGTGTTAGGGACATCACCCAAAAGTCACTGAAATACTGAAAGGCAAAGATTTTTATAGCAAAGCTATCTAGCTTTTCTATACCTTTTAAAAATTCCTAATAGACTTTAGGATAATAAAAACAGTTTGGTTGCATTTTCCCATGGTTGTGTTGCATTCGTGAGAGAAAGAAATTTTCATGAGTTAGTTAAAAAGGTTCTCATAGCAGTAATGTCTCATAGTAGAAACACAATTTTGACTCCTGGTAAATGAGTTTCTACAGAGGATCCTGAGCAGGGAAAGGAACTTTCCATTTCAAGACCAGGACTTGGTCACTTGACTAAGTGGGAAGTGTTGTGTGACTGGTTCCTCATCTATGCTATTTATGAAACCAAAACCAAAAGAAAGCTAGCTTTTTTTCTGAAACAACTAGAAGTTCAAGGGGAACAAGAGAGATGCAGGTTTGGTTTGAAGGAGACAGATGGCTTTGTTAATTATAGCTGTACATTTCCACATTTGCTTTGCTCTTCAGTACCACCAGGGCAGCACTGGCTTTAATCAGCTTCCCCTCTGCACTGGCTATAACCCCTCAAAAAAAGGAGAAGTGGCATTTGGACTCTGCAAGTTCTCATTTGTAATATGAGGCACATGCTTTGCCTCTCTGTAGAAAGGGAGCAGGTAATGGACAGACATTCACTGACTTGCTCTCCCTGCTCTTTCTGCTAGGAATCAGCTTTGACCATGGTTTTGCATGTATTTATCCAAGATGTAACTACACAAAACCAGGGCTGTTCAGATAAGCAGAAAGACTGGAAATGCACAGCTGTGCTGGCACAGGCTTCTGCCCCGGGGAGACCACTTGCTGCTTCTCTCAGTACCAGACTCTTTTGATTGAGTTCCAGAATCCCAATTTCCAGAAGAGAAGGTGCTGTGTCTGAACATGCGGTGGAATGATTTCCATCTGACAAACTATTTTTCTGTAAAATATCAGCCAATGCACACGGCAGGAGACGGTATTGACTGATCCTCAAACTCTCTGCTTCTATCATGGTACAAGAGAACAAAGTTCAAAAGCGAGCTTCATCCCTGCCCTATTTTGCAGACAAAGAGGAAAAAAACTAGCTTGTACAATTAAGTGAGTTTGCGCCTGAGAGAGACGCACCAAAACCGCAGCATACGTGTTTTGTTTGTGCTTACAGCTGTTTGTATTTTCAGAACCTCCATCTCTTCTGAAAAACAAAGAGCTGACCTTTGTGCATTGCCTCTGTAAAGCACCCATGGTTGAATGCTGGTGCCATTCAAGTTGCTCAGTACCCGTCTTGGCTGATCAGGTTCCCCCCTCTTCCTCCCTGATAGTTTCATTTTTCTGTCACCACAGAGGTAGCATTTTTTCAGGAACTGCATACAATGTGACAGCCAAGCAATGGATGTCAGTGTGACCAAAAACTTACATATCTTTCAGGACATCTGAAGAGAGAGGTAATAGGGTTAGAGAGTTTAGGAAGTTCAGGTAAGTGTATTTTGGAGGGAATAAAACACATTTGGATGATTAACATTTCCCTCTTTCTCTGCATCTCAGTATGGTCTCTTGGAGACGGAGCTCCAGAAGAGTCAGAAAAACGCGATGACTCCCAAAGATCCACTTTATTTGTCGAAAAACCTCAGAGTGGTTCAGTGGCCGTTGGTAAGTGCTTTGAAACAAAATAAAAAACCACTTCCAGAGACACAGAGACTGAGGCAGATCCTGGAAAGCTATGTGTGGTTCCTGTGATACTCAACTTTTGCCCTCAGCTACAACTACTTCCACTGATTTTAGTTAGATGTGAACTCCACTCTTTGAAGGCAAAAAGCACTGTATGAGGAGAAGGAAACCCCAATTTTTTAATTCAAGACAAGCTCAAAATCTAATAGTTTACTGAGCACAGTGGGTAAGAGGTATAGTTTCTGGAGAAGAGAGCTGTTTACTGCAATGCTGTTGGCTGTAGCGTTACCAATATGTCAGGAAGATCTACCCAAAGATCTGCAGTGTGGCTTAGAGATTGCTGGATCAACTTTTGTACCCTACAGCTGTGTGTAAATTAGCAAGTAGGGTAGCTCTGTATGGAATCTGGTAGGGTCACCCCCACTGTAACCGTTCTGGGTGACTAGCTCTGGTTTTGTTGGCTGGTCGCTACACCTATTAGCTGTGGGACCACAAGTGGTAGACTCTGAGATCACATCTTAATTTCATCCCAGAGGAATCCAGTGTGAGGAAGCAGTGTGAGGACTTTCTGTGTTGTGAACCAGAGCACAGTAAATGGGGACAATCAGGAGGTTCACCTCCAAACTGCACTCCTGAGCCATACTAACATGGTAAGGAAGCTGCACCTTAAGCAGGGTAACAGCAATGATGAGAACTTTGGTACAGGCTACTTAATATGTCTACTGTGTACTTGGATACACTAAGACATGGTCAGATGGGGTTTTTTTCATACATATCTATTCTTTTTCTTGGTTTCTTGAGTAGAAAAGGAGCATTTTGGGAGGATTTATTTGGAAAGTAAATATAAGGAGTTACCTGGATTCTCCTCTGGAGACCAATAATGGTAGGATGGAAACTCAGCAGAGGCTAGGCAGCAGTGTTCTGAAAATTGAGACAGCTTCTACTATTCCCAAATTATTGATGAGGGAAGACTCTTGCCCCTCCCTTCTCAGCTTAAAGAATTAATGATAGAAACTCATTAAGAGCTCCAGGCTTTCTTTTCCCGACTGGAGTTTATTTGTGTTACAACTGCCTGTTGTAACACCTGTGCTTGTTTTAAGAAGGGAAATTCAAACTTTGGGATCAATTTGCCCATGACAACATGGAGTTTTGCCTCAATTTATCCAGCTTCTCAGCATCTCAGGCTGCACATTGACATGGGCGGAATGCTTCCAGACCTAAAATCATTAATCTCTGTAACACTGCAGTACTGTAATAGCCCGTGTGACTTACTGCCATGGTGGAGCTAACACATGGAGACTGGAAGGTGCAGTAGTAGAAAAAAACTGTATAGACATGACTGACCAACCACATGTTCCTCAATGACTGCATTTTTCTTTTCTCTTTTTAAAAGGTGGGAATATTACATTTATAGCCAAAGTAGAAGCCAAAGATCTTCTCCGAAAGCCAAACGTTAAGTGGTTTAAAGGAAAATGGATGGACCTGGCCAGTAAAGCAGGGAAGCACCTGCAGCTGAAAGAGTCCTTTGAGCGTCATACCAAGGTGTGTCTTTGCTTTTCCTTCTTAGGGGTCAAAGCTCCAAAGCGAGCTTAACAATCAGTTAAAGACAACAGCTAGAAACTCAGGAGCAGTGGATTCTAACCCTGGCTCCCCCATGCAGATTTCAGTGATGATTTCTGATCCTGCACAGACTTTTTTGTTCTCCCAGTAAAGGACAAGTAGTGGTGAGGAAACCAAAGTTTTCTGTTCCCGTTTGTGGGTTCCATTTTCTTTCCAAGAGCCCTTTACTTGAGTTATTCCTTACTCCTGTTTTAGGTCTGAAAGACTTAACTTTTAACTTCTGTTTTATGCAAACATATCACCCACATTAATGAACAATTATGTTTCATTCTTAGATTCACACATTTGAGATGCATATCATTCAAGCTAAAGAAAACTATGCAGGGAACTATCGCTGTGAAGTATCTTATAAGGACAAGTTTGATAGTTGCTCTTTTGACCTTGAAGTCACTGGTAAGGTTCCACTTGTATCTGTAAAGCTTTATAAAGATTTTTCTTTTTTTTTTTTAAACCAGAAATGGCACCAAGTTTTGTTCAGAACCTTTACAGGAAGTAATTCTTAAAGTGAACATTTTTAGCATAGACCTCAGAGAATTTTCTCAGGTGTCTGTAATTTATTGTTTAAATGGATATTGGGTTAGATAGCATGTGAGACACTTACCCAAAAATTAGAAGAGCTGGCAGATAAAACTAGTATCAAATCAGGCTCTGGCACACAAGACAGAGAGTGGGGCGTAGGGCTGCTCAGAGAGTGAGGCTTCATCTGGCAGCATCCGAGCAGAGGGACATGGAGTGGTCCCAGCTCACCAGTGCTTTGCACCCTGTCCAGGCATGGTATGATCATACTCCAGAAAGCTATTTCTTCTACTTTTCATCAAAATAAAGAATAGCACAATGTGGAGAGCACTGGAGGGTCATGCCTTCGTCTGCTTGGGTGTTATAAAGGGCCTTACTCTGGCAAACGTTAACCCACAGGCTTATCTTTTCCCTCGAGAGCAGCTCTGAGCACAACAGCACATGCATACCTGCACGACCAGCCTGAGAAAGATGGATGTCTTCCGAAATGCCAGGGCCAGCAGCCAGTGGACAAAATAGTTGTTCAGCCTCATAAAGCTAGCCTAGATTGGAGTGTTCGTTCACCAGTCAGGGGAACAGCTACAGTCAAGGGGACATTTGACAGCTGACTGAAAGCCTGAGGGGCCAAGGTAGGTGTGTGTCTTCAGAGGCCACAGAAGCAAGGGCCAGCCTGCCTGCATCCCTTCCCTGGCTGTGGATCATCACTGTTTAATCTGACTCAGGCTGGCACAAATGGGTCAATCACACAAGGGGGATTCATCCTTCCACCAAGAACCAACATGAGTGTGTAGCTGTAGAGAAGACTGCCTCTTTCCTCTGATGCTAAGCATAATGAGAAAGGGCAAGATGCAAGCAGGAGAAAAAGTATAGGGAATGGGAAGACAAAAAGGCCAGAGCCTGTGTATAGGTGGGAAACAGAGGTAGGTCTATGCAGAACATAGCAGAGATAGGTCTATGCAGAACTGCAAAAAGTAGTTTAGAGAAATGCATTAAGTAAACTTAGCTTAGCATTGAGCAGCTCTGCCTTTATCAGAGCTTAATGCTAAAGGAGCAGCACAAACTATCATCGCTTAGCAGGAAACTGAAGAAAATTCATATGCCAAATTACAGTGATCACATAAACTACATTAACTTCAAATTATATTTTTTATCACTGTTATTTCACAGAATCTTCCCAAGCTGCTCCATCCATTGACATCAGATCTGCTTTCAAAAGAAGGTAACTTCAAACAGTGATCCTTTGAAGCTCCTCAGTAATGGAGGCTGGTAGCATGCACAGAACTGGCATCAATCTTAGCAAACAATTGCATTAAGTATTTTTTAAAAATGTTTTTATAAATAAAGATTAAAGAAGTGGGGTTTAGAGTGGTTGGTAGTGGGTAGAATGAAATAGTTACAGCACATAGACAGTACATATGATATTAAATTTCTGCTGTGAAATTACAATGTCTTTGCTTTAAGGGAAGATGGAATTTTTAAGGAAATTATGTATTTGTTTATCTAAAGGTTTTTAAAATCATATTATAATTCATTAAAATATTCTACTGTATGTTTCCTAAAATTGTCAGCTACAATATGAAGCTTCCTGGTCCCAATCCTGTACTGATTAAATGTAGAGAGAAAATTCACACTGATTTCAAAAAGATAGGATCTGGCTTTATGTTATTTTGCAGTAAAAAAAAGTGTATCATAAGGCCATCATTGAAGAAAAACTACAAGTAATATATTGCAGAGGCCGTAAGATCAAGCATTGTGTCTGAAGTCTTTTCCTTTGTTAGTTACCTTTGTGATAAAATAGCAATTTAAACCAGTATAGATTGTGATAAAAAAGTAACTCAAACCAGTATCGATGTTGTCTTTAAGCTTTGTGGAGAAAATTGTCCTAGAAGGACAGAAATATTCACAATGAAAATGTTTAAAAACAGAAAATGAATGCAGTTTATTCATTTCCACATACAAGCAAAGTTGTAAATTAGAAGTAACTGCTTTTATTTAGAGAGATTTGATTTAAAAACTGAATGCAACTGATATTACATTCAAGGTGCACTCCTTTCTTGAGCACATTTTTGAAAAAATTGCATAACTATTCTGCCCAAGCAGATAAGGATATCCGAATATTTTCTGATTTTCTAATAATATCTTGCATCAAAATCTGGGATGAAATATTGGCATCATTTGATAACATTTATAGGATTATGCCCTTATTTTTTACCTTTCTTTTGTCTATACGTGCTTTATAATAAAATATTACTGCTCGAGGTCATATTATAGAAAGAAATGCACCTTCACAGGACTGTGATTCTATCTGTAAAGATGTACAATGTAACATTTCTTCTTTGTTTAACTGATTTCTCCCTTCATTTAGAGAAAGGTTAAAACTTAAGTGCAATGCTTTGCAATCAGTATTTGACACAGCTATGCACTGTTAAAAGCAACACCCAGCACTGCAAATCTTTGTTTTACATTCATAGCAAAAGATCAGCACAAGCCCTTTGTTTTTATACACATACACTATGGAAATGAAAAACAAAGCTCGTTGTGCTGACTAGCTCATATTTATTTGTGTTACTGAAATCTAACACAAATCTTGGCAAATTTATGTATGCAGTTACAAAAATTTGTCATCAAAGTATAATAACAAGCAATACAAACCTTTGTGTTATTTTTCACAAGTGCCTAAGGAAACATAATTCGTGTGAAAAAGAATACAAGTTTGTGTTGATTTTATACCATTATTTGTGTGTCTGGACAGTGATGAGTGTATGAGACAGGTAGAGCGTTTGCAATGTGTGTTGTCCAAGTCTTCCTGTATTAAACAAAGATTTGATCTTTTTCTATTAATAACAGCGGTGATGGACAAGAGGATGCAGGAGAACTTGACTTTAGTGGTCTCCTGAAACGTAGGTGAGAACCAAGTGATGCAGTGAGCAGGTGTGGATTGCAAACCATTAGGTTCGCACAGAGAAAGAGTCAGGTGTAGCATTAATAACTTCTTAAGAATTTTCTGACATTTTTTTCTAACTATCATTCTCATAGTATAATATGCAAACGTTCAGTTAATTGTACCTTTAAGTGTGCAGAATAGAAACCTCAGATTTGAGTGCACTGGGAAAAAAAGTGAGCCACAACCTAAAGAGGCCAATAACATTTAGTTTACTTGCTATTTCTTTTGTGTTTGCATGGAGGGTAGAGGGAGATAACTTCCTACACAGGGATGAGCAGTTCAGAAAATTGAGTCTGGTGCAAGAGAAATAAACTGCAAGGGTCAAATTTACCTCTTTGGGTACATTTTAATTTTATTTTATTTATATAAGTATCCTGATATGAAAAATCATGTATTATGCTTTAAAACGGAGAAAAACTTGGGCTTGCGTTTCTCTGGTTTGCCTTGAAAATCTGGTGTTATGGTATCTATGCCTGTAGCTATTTCAGAATTTAAATCTAGTTTAGTCTTTTAACAGATTAAGACAAGATAGTTAATTAGCAATTTTTAAAAATTTATCACAGGCATTCTATATGCCATGGAAATAAATGGCAACTGACCACAGAGAATTGGAAAAGGAACTAGAACCTTTTATCTCATCTAACACTTACTCTGAAAGACAAAAACCCAATATGCAGTATTAATTATGTAAAAAGTTCACAATGGGCTCAAGGGCTGTGATGTCGAGGACAGCATTTAAGTAACTAAAGCGAACAGGAAAGGCTGGACATAAAAGAAGTTAGTGAAAGAATTACCTGAAACAATGCAAACCCACCAGGTCTTTGGTTTCTCAATCTTCTCATCCCTAATTAGGATCATCAGTTTAACTTTTTATCATACTAATACAACTTACCATGACAGTTCTCATAACTGCCTGTGGGGTGTTTTATTAGCAACATGAGACTTGCATGTAAAAGCTCTTGGTGGTTTTTGTGGAAAGAGAAATGTGATTTAAGAGTCATTATCACTTCACTAACAAGTAACTCACATGTTTTGGAAGATAAATACTGTATAGCCATAAACATATAATATACTTATCGTGTGGTTAATGGGAAAAGAAAAATTTTAGTTTTTAAACACCATTATTTGATATTGGTCAAATCGGTTCATCCCCTCATTGCTTTGGGCACTGAAATACAACCTCAGTCTTCTAGGCTTAATTGAATAAGACTGCTAATTAAGCCCCCATGTGGATATTAATATCCATTTTTATGAAGACAAATGCACATTTTCATTTTAATTTTTTCCAACAGGCAACATTGCAGGTGCATTCCTTCTTTTTTGTATGGTTATGTTACCAAGGAAAGAGCGAGAACTTTTCACCTGTGGTGCATAATACTTGAAACATGTTTTTAAAAAAAGCCTAAATGCATAGAATCTATATACTGCCTATTTTCTAATTTCGTGCTGGTCCTGCAGGAAGACAAACCAGTTCTTCTCTCAGTAAGCCACTCTGTGACTGGTTATGCTTCATCAATGCAATGGATCAGTAATGACACGAAATTCCAAAAGGCACGAGATCTCAAAAACACTGAAACATTTACGTCCTGTTTTTTAAAAGGTACATCTTTCAACAAAATGCACATTCTCGGGGAAAAGATCTGAAAGCAATTTTGTGGAGAGGTCAGTCTGCTTGGGACGTTGTTTGCCCGCTACCCACAGCAGAAGCCGTGGTGGTTTCAGAACTTGGTTTGCTCTAAGTGCCAAAATTTGTTCTCCAGTTACTCAAGAGGAGAAATGAGTCTGGAATTATTTATTTCAAGCTGGTTGAAAATCAGGATACTCTAACTGATCCTCATTCTCAACTACTGCCTGATTTAAAGGGGTACATTACCGTGATCCCCACGGAGTGTACCTCTCCCTAGCATGGAGAGGCGTTGGATGGCAAGCGACCAGCCCTGGGAGAGGAGAATGCCTCCCCATGGGGTGTGTCAGCTTTTACATATGTTTGCAAGTGGATCTCGACTTGCCACCACGCAGAAAGAATCTCACTGAAACGCCAGTGTTTGCTGTACATAGTCACTCTCCAGAAAGCATGAGTACAGATAAAAGTAAAAGGAATGAAACATAAAATTACATATCTGAAACTGTCTGACAATAATCCTAAGATAACAATGTGAGTATTTCAAAGACTCCTCAGTAAGAAGACTTTTTCCTTTTTAAAATAACACTGACATATTACAAAAACTAATAAACTTCATGGAATAAACAGCAAAGAAGTTTTCCATAGTTTTTCATCCAAACATGCAGAAATTCTCAGGGATCTCCAGTGCTACTTCTGTTTTAAAGAAAACTCTCTGTCAGACTTGGTTGCGCTCAGCTCTAATGCTGTCTTACTCCAAAGTTCAGTATTTTTTATTTCTCAGATGTTTATTTTCTCGCTCTGTTCTCAAAAGTACTGATTTAGTCAGATCAACTAGATCAAATCAGAATTATTCTGGTTCAATCCTAATTAATTTACAGGAAAAAGTGTCTAGATTTCTGTTCCAGATTGTTCTAGCAGTTCACTTTTTTGAGCTAAGCTGTCAATCTCAAAAATTATTATTTTGTTTAGCATGCTTCCATTGTTCTCTCATTTAATGGCTGCCATTGTGAAAATAATTATACTTCTCTTTATTGGTTGTCTTAGCCTGGAGTTGCACATAGTAAATATGGTATTGAAACTTTTGTATAAAGGTGATGCTATTCACACAGGCCTCTGAAAACACTTCCTGCTCTTAAGACTGAGATAAACATGGAAGCCAACAGATCCATCTTGCAAGTCCAAGCTGGTGTGGAAATCTCCAGTTCCTATCCATATGCCAACTTTAAGTAACTCTGAGAAGCACTGGTGTAACTATAAGCAGACACAGGTTCCCTTGGATTTCAATGTCCTTTCATTGGTCACCCCTAGTAGCAGTTACAGGAACTCAGGGTTTGAAAGCATCTTTATATGATTATGAAATGTACGTATTGGAGTCAGATCTCACTGTTGCCATCATAAATTGTAACTAGTTCCACTCAAGTTACAACAGATAAAACTGATTTAAGTGGGATTAGCCCATATGCTATTATAGTACTACATTTTCAAACTGTATTCTGTGGGTTTTTTTAAAATAATGAAGAAATATAAAAACTCTCATAACTGATTGCATCAGAAAAGGCCAAATCAAAACTGATATCCAAATTCTGTCCTGAAGAAGTGTAAAATAAGGTGTGAATGTCATTCTGAGCTATTCTACTCATACTAAGTGAAATAAGAAAATATGATGGTGGCCTTCAAATTTTGATCAAAATATTTCTATCCTCACCATAGATTCAGCTTCACCCTTTTCTATGGGGTGTTAAAGCCTCACTAACTCTTCTCCCATAATTTTATTTTGCTACTGTTAGGGAGGTTAAACAGCAAGAGGAAGAACCTGAGATAGATGTGTGGGAGCTCCTGAAGAACGCGAATCCCAGTGAATATGAGAAGATTGCTTTTCAGTATGGTATCACTGACCTGAGAGGCATGTTAAAGCGTCTGAAGCGCATGCGCAGGGAAGTGAAGAAGAGTGCAGGTATGTAGAAGGCAGAATATTCTTATGGTCAGCAGTCAAACATGAGTGTCCACCTTAAAAACCCAAACTTGCTTGATTTCTACGTAAGGGGACTTGCACACTACAACTCAAGCCTTATTACTGCAACGGGTTAATCACGAGAAGTCCTTGTCTACTGTGGTTAGATGAACACCCTATCCCATTCAGTGCTTACCAGAAGTGTCCCTCCCTCTTGGCCAAACAGTATCCAACTAGAACAAAGTTCCCCAGTTGTGTGGAAAGGTGTTATCTGATCAAACAGTACGGAAATAAGACCTTGATTAAGATCTGCTCTAAAACAGTCACTCCAAACACATTGTTTGCTCATTTCATTTTGCACTTAATCTGACATTCCTCTGAAATTCCAGCTGTACTAAAACCCCTCCACCCTGCACTGGGTGGGGAAATTCAGTCCTGTCTTTCCCCATCTATCCTCCTCAACAGTATGAGTGGTGTTACACACACATAAATATAGATACATGTTTATATGTATGTATGTATATAGAATATAGGTGTATGTTGCATAATACACATGCATATAAATACAACATACTATCCATTATACTATCGTGGCATTTGCTTGTTCCTGGAGAGCATTTCAGAATTGGTTGCAACATGTACATCTGCTGTTCCACTGGCTTCCTGGAGAAGTCCCTTTTGTGTACATGAAATCCTCCACAAATCCAGCTGCAATCCAGCTGCCTGATATACCCTCTCTCCTCATTCATTACCTCACATCGTAATATGTGTTATTTCACTACACATTAATTTTTGTTTATATTTTTCATTTGCTGGTGTATCTCATTCTGGCCACCGTTGAGTGAGGGAGGAAGAAATGGAGTTAAAGGACTTTGGATGAGCCACTGGGGTGGTTTCTGTATCCAGTGTAGCTCTCGAAGGGGTTAAAGTCCAGGGAAACTGCTCACCTTCCCCCAGGCGTCTGGAGTAGGGCTGGAAGCTGGGCCAGGAATTGGGTGGCTGGCAGCAAGAGCTGCTCCCTACTCAGGTGCATCATGTGGAAGTGCATGAATGTTTTACTGGGAAAGGGGCATCTCTCCACCTGGGACCATTTTGTCTGGTCCCTCTCCCCAGTTCCCAGTTGAGTAGGATGGAGCTGCCAGCTACATCAGGATTTTGCAGTGCACAGGGCTTTCCCTATAGGAGAGGCTCTAGGTGTTGGGGGAAACATCTATAGTAGCGACAGGATGAGAGTAGATTGTTCTTACTGTCACACCACCTTTAGTAGAAATTGTTAAGTTTTACACTGAAACAAGATACACTAAAAATATTTTTCACATTTAATAACTCTGATACTCTTGTGTTATATATTCAGTCTCTTCAACCAGATATATGCATGATATAAACCTTAGCAGAAATTGATTATTTAGGTGTGGGCAATTTGTTTGAGGCACCAGTTTTTATTTATTTTTTATCTGCTCCCCTGGGTCTAACTTTTGCAGTTGGCAACATCTAAATGTTGAAGTTAAAGTGTTTTGAACTGTTGGAGTTGCACCTTGCCTTACCTCGCCCAGAACAACTTGGCCTACATTTGTACATCTCAAAGAACTTTTTTGAAAAACCCCATTAGGATTCACAGGCTGACAACTTTTTTCTGCTTTCAAATATTTTTGCCAATGTTTTGCAACATTTATCACAAGTGGAACTGCAATGTACACCTTCCAACCTACAGAAAAAAAATCAGGAGAGCTAGTTTGGCTTCAAGACAAACCAATGTGTTTATTCTGATAGTGGGAAGCTTAATAAGAATTTTAGCTTAAAATTTCCTGTTAACTTGAGTGGTGGTGCTAATAGAGATGTCCTTTGTAACAGATTCATTGTAAATGATTCCTTGGCACCAGCTGTGTACCTTTTTATTCTGACATAGCACTTCTCAGCAAGCCATCAAAGCTACATCTCCCCAATCCTATTCAGAACACAGTCACACCACAAAGTCATGAAGATATACTAGCTTGAACTCGGTCAGGATAATCAGATCTGCATAGCTTTGCACTTATTCTAATGTTTCTGTTGTGTGGACTAGCCTAAGAATACAGAGTGATGTATAACATTGTGTACATGTATGCTGACAGCTTTAGTGAGATTTATGCAATGTCATTACAGAATTCATATTCTTACTTGTTTTCTGATCTTTTATAATAACTCTTGGCTTCCACAACAGCTTTTGCCAAAGGTCTTGATCCTGCATATCAGGTGGACAAAGGAGGTAAAGTAAGGTTCATGGTGGAGCTAGCAGATCCAACAGTGGAACTCAAGTGGTATAAAAATGGCCAAGAAATACGACCCAGTGCAAAGTAAGTGGGTTTATTGTATGTAAGCAATAAAGTGGGTACACAGGTACTTCCTTGACAAATGTGTTGCATAGATCTCTTTGCTCAGGCTGCACCGATTTTATTTCTGAATTTCACCATACATGAAAAGTATGCAAATGATGCTATATTGCTCATGACCCAGAAAAGTCTACTGTATGCTAAATATTAACACAGACTGGCTCCTTTGCCTCAAGAGAAAAGAATTAAAGATCTCCAACAAAACAAAGATCCATTTCCCCCTTGGTAGTTTTTTAAAAATCAGAAAGCACTGTGAGCAAATAAATCTCTTGTCCTCAGTACTACGTCTGAAGGAGGTCAGAATCTTTCTACAGTAGTTGGGTGATAAGAGACATTTAACATCACGTATTTATTCACCTGGCTCATAAACCACATGAGGAAAGGGGAGCAAGGTTTGTCTCACCTTCCACTACCCAGTTAACACTCACATTGAAGTCAGCAATCTGCATTAGCTCAAAGTGACTTCAGTCATGCACAACAGATCTGGGAAACCCCAGCTTCTTCATCATTTGTATCACCTGTGGATTGGTTAATTGTTTGACTTTATCTAGAAGGAGTGGCTTTTCAGGTGTAGACACTTGAGTAGAGGTAAAGCCACAGGTGGAAGTTGAGCCCAGTCCTTAGTGTGGGCACAACCAGTTCTTACAAGCTGGTGCAGAAAATCTCATTCCAAAATCAGACACAGCCAGGAATAATGATGTGCAACCAGTAATGTACAATGCAATGTTCCTTAAATGCTTCTCAGCAGCAACTTTCTAGTTGCTAGCAACAAAAATCCTAGCAACTTTCTCCTCTGGCCTTGTGAAAAAATAGTAATTACCAAAAGCACTTTTACAGAGAAGGGGAAGATTTTCTTCATTCTGTTGCTGCAAAAGTCAATGAAGGATTTTGATTAATATTCATAGTTGACAAAAAATGCATAATAAAGAGGATACCTTTTCTTTAGCCTCTTTATCTGCCATGAGCAATTCCAAAATGTTTCACAGGCAGCTATACAGATACCTCTCCACTAGAAGGACCTGGATTGAATGTTCCAGTGCATTTCTTCCAGGCTGCAGAAGCAGCTGTCAGATGCTAATGAGCTTTGGTCGGTACAAGCCTGGAGCAGATCTAAACTGGTGACATAAAGGTGAAAGGCACCATATCCCATTACCAAAACCCCATATCCCATTACTGATCTCTTGTGCCATCTGGCCTACCAATAATATTAACTTCTTAACCCTGGCTATTATTTTACTTCACAAAAATGTTAAGAGTGTTGGAATGAGGATGGTGTCTTGTTACTGGTTATTTTCATCTTTACTCATCTAGAGTTTCAGACTCCACTTTATTTGCCATCCTTCAGAGCCTGCTCTTTTTTTTTTATTTTTTCATATCACCCAAGCCTGAGATTTTGGAACAAGCAAGAAGATGCTGATTGTCACCCTACATAATAGCTCTTTTTGTTAAAAAGTCTATGACAGTTCTGTTGAATCTCAGAAATTGCTTCCCAGGACAACTTTTCCAGTTCTACGTAAAAAAAACAGGCTTTTCACCTCTAATAATCCCTAAAGAATTTTCTACATAAAACAAAAGGGGTCCAGCAGTTTTGCTAATGTATCTTTGCTGTCTTCCTGTTCAAACAGATACATTTTTGAGCACAAAGGTAACCAGCGAATTTTATTCATCAATAATTGTACGATGACAGATGATGCTCGCTATTATGTAACAGCTGGTGATGAGAAATGCTCCACAGAACTGTTTGTGAGAGGTAACTTCATTAGCTTACTCCTATTTCACCTGATATAAATTGGTGTGGCTTCTTTGACTGCAACAGAAATTCAGGGGGGTTCTGGTTCAGTTTATTTTTACTGGCAGTCCTTAGGATCACTGTATTTCCGTGATCCCTGATCATTGTTTTTCCTCATCCTATATTTAGTAATTTAGTGAAAACCCTGAAATGGGGATGTGGTTGATTTCATAGCGTGGATTGTTTTCTAGTGGAGTTGTGGTTCCTTTCATAGTTATAAAGCCCTTTTGGAGACTTGTTTGTCATAGTGTTGACTTTCCCTATACTCTTGATGCTGATACTCTTGACTCAATAGATCTGTTTCAAGTACCTTCAGATCCAGCTTTCTAGTTAGCTTTTATTTCATCTGCACAGATTTAAGGGAAGAGTCTATCAACAGCTGTGAATGGGTGGCCATTTCTTTACCTTTTTAACTTCCATAGTGCTGATAGTCTTACTCATTCACAGCATCACTCATGCATTCACACTGAAGCAAACAGAAAACCAAAACTTACAGTGAGAGAAAGGAGTCATTAAATATTTCTGAAAGCTATTTAAAATAACAGAGCCCATTGCCCCTGTAAATATCACAGAATAACCATTCTACAATCTCTTGCTATTAAATAAACTTGAGTTTTGAGAGCAGGAATGGGTTAAACCAATAAGGGCACTGCATTATGTCATCAGGTCATCTTATTGTGCATAACGAGCTACAGGACCTAATGAAAACACAGCTTTATAAGAGGGACCTGTGTGAGGTAAGAGGGGAATTTCAGCTTCATAAGTCAACCTGTCTGGACAAAATGTCAACAAGAAGGGACGTAAGGCAGGCATTAATCTGAAAAAATGTGGGGGAGTTTTTTATTTAGTACATTTCCTACTAATATCTTAAAAGGCAAAGCCTTTTCTGATTTAAGGCAGAAAAAGCTGCACTGAGACTAACATTTAATAGACATGTAGATGTGGCATTTAGGGATGTTGTTTAGTAGTGGACTTGGCAGTGTTTGGTTTATGGTTAGACTCAATGATCTTAAAGGTCTTTTTGAACCTAAATGATTCTATGATGTTACAATTTTAAAGCAGCATCATCTTCTATAGCATGATTTAAAAAACTTCTTTCATTTAGTTTTTTCTCTCAGATTGTAAATCTGTAATTTTCTCTTTCCAAAGATCCCCCAATCTTGGTGACCAAAGGCCTGGAGGATACCAGTACCTATGTTGGTGAACGAGTAGAACTGAGCTGTGAAGTGTCTGAGGATGATGCAAATGTGAAATGGTAAGCAACACTTTGAACAGATACTGTTTTCCTTGAGAATAAAATCCAGAATATTTTAATTGTAGGTAAAAATGTGGATAGCTATTTCCACACCAGTAAACCTGAAAATTGTTAAGAAAATCTCAAGAAACCACTATTTTAAAATGTAGCAACAGCAAAAATATCCTTATGCATTCAGGGGTGATATTATTTAACCTTTCATTGTGCCTAAAGTCTTATAAAGTCTTCTCTGGAAGTTTCAATCTATCGGAGTCTTATTTGTACAGGACATCTATTGGAAAAATAATCATTCTTTCCTTTCTGTTAGGTTTAGAAATGGTGTAGAACTTCCCAATGACCCTAAATCTCGGTATCGAATCAAGGTTGAGGGTAAAAAACACACTTTGATCATAGAGGAAGCTGCAAAAAATGACAATGCAACTTACTCAGTAATGACAACCGGAGGTCAATCAGAAGCTAAGCTTTCAGTTGAATGTAAGTATAATTCATTGATTCTATGATTCTATAATACCTCTTGCTCTTGAATTTGTATGTCACAGTTTACTGGCTTATAGAAATAAATAATTTGCCTGCCTTTTCCTGGGTTTTTAAAGGGAGACTTGACTTCCATACCAATTTCTTTGCTTCAAATCTCCAGAATGGTGACTTTCCTTTAGACACTGTTTGCAGTGACAGGCAATGAACTAGTCCTGCTCGAAAACTTTCTGTTACGCCATTAAGATGGAAAACAAAGCTATCTATCCAAAGGATGGAGTGAGTTAAGGCAATTTAGCAAACAAAAGAACAAGTAGTGTATGAAGTTAAGCTCACTGACTAGTTAGCCTTTGCTAGCAGCCTGAAAAAGCAGGTTGAGAACTACAGTCCTCACTTGTGATGAAATACTTTGGTAAGTCTCATAATTATGTCAGATCACCTGGGAGATTTATAAGAGCAGTGACATCACTGTTAGATTATGGGAAAGGTGGGTTGCAATCCATTCTAGTGATAGGTCAGGGGGGTCAGGTCTTTCACTTCTTGAAAGTTTCTTACTGGACACGGGGAGATAGAAACACCCTACATCCAGCACCCAAACACCAGAGAGGGGACAGCATTCAAATTATGTTCCTGGGCTTAGTTCTTCTACTGGTAGTATCCATGGAGTTTCCCTAGGCAAGGCATGGGTAATTTGGATCACCCTTTCTAAGGCATCGGAGGTTAATTTATGTCGCTTATGTATTACTGGTATTTCTGCTTAAGAACTCTAATATTGAAGGCATTTTTCTGATGTGAAGACTTATGTAATGGCTAGTAGCAGCTTCATAACATAATCTTGAACTAATGTTTGATATTAGAATTAATATCTTTGCTTTTGTTTTCCTAAGTGAGACCACTGAAGATATCACTTGCACTAGAAGACCAGACTGTGAGGCTTGGACAGGAAATCCACCTGAAGTGTGAGATATCTGAGAATGTGCAAGGGAAATGGTACAAAAATGGGCAACTGGTTGAAGCTAGTGACCGTGTAAAGCTTTATCACAAAGGAAGGTAAGCCTGTTGTGTATTGACTTGACTTTTGATGGAATGACACTGTAGAGATGTGCCAATATGTGGGTTACTTTGCTGAAAATTATCTGGCAATCAAGCCTAACCTCTGTCCCTCAAAAATATTTATTTTTATCATCAAAAAAGCCGTGTCTCCTTGCCCCTTTTCATAATCATAGAATCATAGAATGGTCTGGGCCGGAAAGGACTTCCAAAAGTCATCTAGTCCGGCCTCCCCGCAGTCAGCAGGAACACCCCCAACTAGACCAGGTTACCCAGGGCCTCGTCAAGCCTCACCTTGAATATCTCCAGGGAAGGGGCCTCAACCACCTCCCTGGGCAGCCTGTTCCAGTGTTCCACCACCCTCATAGTAAAGAACTTGTTCCTAATATCCCATCTAAATCTGCCCTTCTCCAGCTTAAAGCCATTGCCCCTCGTCCCGTCACTGCAGGCCTTTGTAAACAGACTCTCCCCAGCCTTTCTGTAGCCCCCCTCAGGTACTGGAAGGCTGTTATTAGGTCTCCCCGGAGCCTCCTCTTCTCCAGGGTGAACAACCCCAGCTCCCTCAGCCTGTCCTTGTAGCAGAGGGGCTCCAACCCCCTGATCATTTTTGTGGCCCTCCTCTGGACCCGCTCCATCAGGTCCATGTTTTTCCTAATGTTGTCTTTTGGCTGTGAAGAACAAATAACCAAATCCTTGATCCATATAGTTTCAAGCTATTAATTTTTTTGTTGCTGTTTGTATGGGATATTAAGTAGTAAAGTAAAATAATTGTTAGACATTATTAAAAATATATAGATTTAAAATGTCTGTTTTTCTGGTTGCTTCTGTTTGTGTCAAGTCAGGCCATATGTCTCTACCCATGCAAAGCATGTGGAGATATCACCTCCCTTTGCATTTATAATCTGTCATTTTGCATGGGAAATTTGTCAGTTAAAAACAAAACAAACCAAATCCAGGTCCAACCTTTAACTACAGCCCCTTCGCTTCAGCTTAGCAGACCGTTCATACAGCTGGGAACTGCACTTGTGAACACACTCCTAAGTAGGCTATGAAATATTTGCATTGACTGTAACACTCACTAAGTTATAGTAAGGGACAAGTGCCAGCTGTGCAATGACCCCTTGCACTGACATAAGGTGAACACAACTCATGTAGGCCCATAGGGTGAGGTGAGGGCAAGGGGAGTAGGAAGGGTACAGCAGGTGATAGGAGAGCAAAAATATCCTCATACAGGAAGACGCAGTTAGGTAGTAAGAGCAGCATGTGTTTTGCTCACCCATTTTTTTTTATTCTGGCAAACAAATAGTAGATTGGATCCTGCCACAAAAAATGGTCTGACAAAAGTCAGAATATTCTCAGAATGGGATCACCTGAAGACTTCTTCTTGAACAACCATATTACAATCTAATGGCAGCAACACAGAATCCCTGTGTCAAAGAGATTACACTCCTGTATTTTTCTAGTGTGTTGCAACAAAAAAATATTAGAATTGGTTATATTATTTGGTGGTTGTTTCAATAATATTTTGTACAAATCACACAGTATTTAATCAGCTAAAATACCACTAGGCAGTCAGCAAAGGAAATTTAGTCAGTAATTTTACTGACAGATCTCCTGCACAGATCTCCTAAACTTTTCATGGTATTTCCTTATAACTTCAAGCAGCCTTCAAAAATAATTTACATTGATTTCTTTTTCAATTTTTACAGAATCCACAGATTTGTTATAGCGAGTGCTGCTGTTGATGATGAGGGTGAATACATGTTTGTACCAGATGCCTATAATATTAATATTCCATGCAAAGTACATGTTGTGGGTAAGTATATGGCACAGTGACTTTTATATAACATTTCTTCCTCTTATCTTTGGAAATTAGGAGCAGTGTGAAATATCCTGGATTACAATCAGCTTGTTTCCTCTGAGCAGGCATCTACCAGAGAAAACAGACCTGCTGCTTTGGCAAAGTGCAAGTGAGGTAGTCAGAGAGCGCTTTGCCTGTGCGCAGGATCTGTTCATCATTTATTTACAAGCCTGGGGGAAGCTCCCAGGGAAGGCTTCTCAGTGTTGGATTCCTAAACTTAAACTGTTATTAAGAGATTGTGTAAAACACCTGTTGCTGTACTCTTTTCAGATATACAGTGTTGTCTTCTTTCAAGAATTGGCTTGCTGCATTGCAAAATGTGATTTAGTTTGGTAAAAGATTAGTAGAATAAGCACATATTTACCTCTTCCCTAAACATGTTGAATGATATCTACAGAGCCAAATGTTTCCGGTCAGCCTTTATTCACTCAGCAAAACAGAAAGCTTGTTAATGACCACTCTTTTCAACAAAAATAAAACAAGCTATTGAGTCTACCCACAACAACACCTCAGTGACTTTTAACTGCAACCAGCAAGTTGGAAGTCAAATGGAGAGCAATTCAAATGACCAAAGTTTTAGAAAATACCTTCTGTAATTGAAACTGTAAGAAGTGGGATATCTGTGTTAGAAAAAGTATTGGCAAGGTTAACGGAGAATGAAGAGGGAAAGGGTACTAAAAGAGTACACCTGCCCATATAACTTCCAATACTTAAAAAAAGTTGCAAAAGAATATTTATCAGTTGTTCTCCATACACGTGGGGTACAACAAAAGTGACCATTTCATTTTCAGAAAAACAATTTAAGTTCGGAAAACTTTTGAACCGTAAGAACAGGGATGCCTCAAGCATGGTAAAAGGTGTTGTAGAAAGCGTGCAATGGAAATTCTCAAGAGCCACTTAGATTAAATCTTTCTCAGGAGTTACCTAAATATACATAATTCTGCCTCAGGAAGATAGATTTTTTTTTTTTTTTTATGGTCCTGCTATTCCAAAATTTCTACGGTGCCATGATTTATTTTTCATCAGACAACTATTTTCTTAAAAAGAAAATTTCTTCACAAATTTTCTTCCTAACAAAAAATTAGAAATACTGGGAAAATCTAAAACATAGAGCATGTTTCTCTGTGTTGCAGACCTGTGCCAGGTCACTGATCTCTCAGAGCGGTAGCCACATGGCCAATTTGGACAATCTCTCCTTTTTCAGATCCTCCTAAACTCCATCTGGATGGTCTTGGGGAAAATAACACTGTGACAGTAGTAGCAGGAAGCAAACTACGACTTGAGATCCCCATCACTGGCGAGCCAACTCCAAAAGTCATGTGGAGTAAAGGGGACAAGGTACAGTGTCATTATACATGTTTCTTTAGCTTAAGAAGGAGCCTTTTTTTTTTTTTTTTCCCAAAAAATAATCATTCGCCTTGTGAAGACATTGACTTTAATGGCAGAAAATAAGGAGATGCATTTTATCTAAAAAACTGTTCTCACTCAAAAACAAAGGGTAAGGTGGACAAATATTATTTAGTAGCTTTTGGGTCTTTTTGAGGAAAAGCTGAAATTAATGAAGTAAAAAAAAAAATCACAGTTTTCTTATAAATAAATTGTGAAAGGGAAATGATATATGAAATACAGAAAGAAACTAGTGAAAACCTACCAAATGTCTACTTTTTCTGTACATACTGCCCAGCATGACAATCGGATTTTGACAGGAAGCCATCTTATGATCCAGTTTTGGAAAATGAATGATAAATTCTGATGGAGTGTCAGGTCTCGAATGAACCAATAGGCTGGGCAATTGGTGTCTTGCATCTAGTGTCTTTATGCAGAACTTTGCACAGATCAATCCCTGGCTGTGTAATATCAAAAAGCCATTTTTCACATTTAAATTTTCACTGTGGTATGTGGAAGCTGGAACATGTTATTATTACTGGATTCATCAGACCTATCTGGTCAAATCTCTGACTTTTTCTTTTCATATATTAATTGTAGTATCACCGCTGTGGACTTATCCAAATAGGGAATTATTCCAGGCGAGCTCTTACTTCAAAATATGTGTCAGAATTTGAAATCTGTGTGGACAAATCACTGACCATTGCAATCCCTCTGACCTTTAAACTGAACAAATTACATTTCAATATGACTTTTGGGACAATACACCACTCTTCATCAAATTAATGACAGCTGGTGTTGATGAAAGCATGTTTTTCTCACAGGACAAGTAAGCCTAGTGCCTCTTCCTTTGAGATACAATGGCTGAACTGAATACTAAACAGTTACCATATTTTAAAGTTATTTATTTGTCCCTCAGTTATTTTGTCTTTTCTGTGATTAATAGGTGACTGAAATTCTGAGCTCTAGTGTGTTCCTTTCTTACAGTTGTTTTAGTATTTTTGCTAGTGTCCTGTACTGCATTTGGATTTTGATTTTTGAGCATTTTGATTCTTAAATCCAGAAAGCATGACTTTTGCCTCTGCTTATTTTGATTCCTAGATGGTCACAGACAGTGGAAGAATACGGGCAGAAACATACCCAGACAGCAGCTGTCTGGTCATTGATACAGCTGAGAGGGAAGATTCAGGTCCTTTCAGAATAACGTTAAAGAATGAGGCGGGAGAGGACACAGCTCTAATCAACATTAAAGTGGTTGGTAAGTCATGCAGAACAGTACTTACAAGCCATGTTTTTTATCGTAGCCCTTTTCAGTAAATTCTCCTTCAAGAGCACTACTTTTCCACACCCCAACAAGAGGCAAATTCTTCCGCTGTCTGTGTTCTTCCACTGGATCTCTTCAGTATATGCTGTCTTCCTTGTCTACCAAACTGTTGTAGATTCTCAGAAAACTTTCATTTCCCTGTTAGTCCCCATTTTCAGGTGTGGAATTGAGGTGCAAGGATACTAAGCCCCAATGCTACTGAAGGACACAGAAGATTAGCATGGGATTTATGCAGGAGTTAATTACCACCCCGCTGCCACCTTACGCTGCAGGGGCCAAACTCATGCAGTTGCCTCAGGCTGCCCTTAACACTCCCTGTTCTCCATTCTCGGTGTGGCTGTGGGCCCTGTCTGACAACGTGCCCTCAAGTGCCTCTCAAGTGTCTTGACTGTGCTGAAGGGCTTGGCATTTATCCTTTCCCAACCACCTGCCAGGATACACAAAGACCTTCTTTCTCTTTCTGTCCTCATTAAGAACTCTTGCATTTTAAAACTATCCAGATTTGTTTCTTGCTTGACATTTTTTATTTCAAACTATGCAGAAAAAAGAAAGCTTTGGGTTTTTTGCTGGTTTGGGGTTTTTTGTTTGGGTTTTTTTTTTTAATACTATTTACTTTGTTTACAACAGATGTCCCTGACCCTCCTCAGGCACCAAATGTAACTGAAGTGGGTGAAGACTGCTGTGTTATGACCTGGGAACCTCCAGCAAATGATGGTGGATCACCCATCTTAGGTACATACTTTTCTTTTTTTTGTAGTGATGCTCTAATATAGACAAAATCAACAAACCCCAAATAATGGAGACCATAGGATCAGAGTTCAGCTCAGGCCTTAGAGACCTGTATTTCAAGTACCCAGTTGCAAGAATGCTCTACCCAGTCTTCGACTTTATGAGATACCTGTTTTTCTAATGCTTTGAGATTTGTTTTGTTTTGTTTTTTAAGTTGCCACATTATTAATCCCCCTACTTGAAAGACAACCTCTTGTAATACCAAACTTCGAACAGTTAGCCTGTTTGAATGTTAGCAGGAATTTCAGGAACAACTTACTGAGTAAATTGGAGTATCTTCTAATACAGTGAACCAAGAGGAAAGTCAGAGGGGCCCAGGGCCCAGCAGAATCACATTCTTTTCACTCTGAGCTAACTACAGCAGTGTTTTAAGTGAAGTCAGAAAAGAGCTCATACAAGGCCATGAAAGCAAACAGATGAACATCAGATTGCTTGCAATGGGAAAAACAATAACCCCTAAACCACTCTGAGGCTAGAAGGGGATATTGAGTTGTATCCAGAAAATATGCCATTGGGCAGTCAAAAAAATAGACCCCTCACTATTGAGCTTTATGCCACCACTCACTATAATAAAATTTTGTTTGATCAATAGGCTATTTCATTGAAAGGAAAAAGAAACAAAGCTCCAGGTGGATGAGGTTGAACTTTGAGCTGTGTAAAGAAACAACTTTTGAGCCAAAGAAGATGATTGAAGGTGTTGCTTATGAGGTCCGAGTATTTGCTGTTAATGCAATAGGCATTTCCAAACCAAGTATGCCTTCGAAGTCCTTTGTTCCTTTAGGTAAGTAATCAAGGGCATAGAGATTGGTAACTTTCTGAATGCATACCTTTAATACATTATTACAGTCATCTAATTATATAACTGTAGTTCTTGTTGCACTTGTGTTGCTCAGGACCTGTTTTTATTAGGTGTTGCATAGACTATGTTTGTCCCTGAAGGTTGTATAATCTTTTATAAACAAAAACCAAAGATGTATAGACAGAAAAATGCTGCATTACAGTAGAATAGTGACATACTATAGGTGAGCCTGATATGGTCAATACTCTGGTCAATACGTTTAAAGGACCAGTACTAACATTTCCATGTTCTGTGTGTCATAAGTACATCCTGAGTCAATAGAGTCAAACTATTGCCAGTCAAACTGGCAATTTCAAGAACTGATAAAGATGATGGATTATACTTTTGGTTGTTTTCAGTCTTTATTCTGCTGTAAATTCAGTCGTTGGCTTTTGGCCAAAAATTATCAGGAAAAGTAACCAGAAGTCAAAAAAATCACTATTTGCAGGCTGCACTGTAGGAAACCCAAACTTTCCTTTCACATTGCACTGCTTATGCTTTGCTGCTGCACAGTAGCTTGACATTTAAAAATGTACAAGTATTCACAAATAATCCATAGATTTCCATTTAAAAAAAAAAAAATCACAGGTATGTGATCTATCATAAAGTAGAAATCTATGGAAAACATTAAGTGAATTTGCCCAACACTGCAGTAAATCATATGATAAGATACATATGAACAGTCCCTAATTTTACTCTATGTCTCTTGGACCCCTATTAGCTGAAGCTTTTTTCCCAGACAGGGATCTCATATTTCCAATATCCTTTTGCAGACAATCCAGATTAGTCTGGGTCATGCTTTATACTATTCTACATGTCACCTTATTGCTTTATATTAATTTAGCAACTAGAGGACCTTGTCATTCACCTAGTGACAGACTAATTTGGTGGCATTTTTGTATAAAGAAACAGATTTTCAAACTACTGTGACAACCACAATTCCTTGTAAAAGAAAGGTGTCTTGTTCTGAAGGCCAGCAAAGGTTCCCACCTTGCTCAGTGGTACCCCCATAATGCAGAGGAGGAGGAAGAAAGTGGCAGTTATTGCGACAGTATGGTCTCCTCTTGCCAGAAAATACCTGCTGTTGTAGAATACAATACTCACAAGTTCTCTGCTCTGCCTTTCACTGTTCTTTGCCCTTTTCACTCCTCAGCAGGAGGAATGGAACTCTGGGTTAGGCTATGAGCAGATATAGGATGAGGTACCCACTTCTCCTAGTTTGGTCCTAATTGGGACCATGGGTAAGACATGCCAGGAATGACTGGAAATGCCTGGTAGGCAGCATTTAGCCTGCCACCTGACAGTTTGGCAATGTTAAATTAAAGGAATACGCACCATAAATGTAAACCTTTAATTGTAACCCAGTTTTCTGCCTTCTCCCTGCTGCCTGCTTGCTTCAGCTGTTACCAGTCCACCAACTCTCCTGGCAGTGGACAGCGTGACTGACACCTCAGTTACGATGAAATGGAGGCCACCAGACCACATTGGAGCAGCAGGGTTAGACGGCTATGTTGTAGAGTACTGCTTTGAAGGAAGTAAGTGACAACGACTGTGGTATGTTACTCATAGTGCAAGTAGGTGAGACTTTCTCCTTCTTTTTCTCTTCAGATGTCAGGTACTCTTACTTTAAGGAAGAGACTAATCAGTCAGAAAACCTCAAGCAGCAGAGTGTGTTCAGGCTTTCTTTGATTTGTATTCCAGATCCTGCCCATAAATTGTAGTTCAACCCCTCTTAAATTTGATCTGAAATCCAAATCAAAACCCATATAATCTGTGGTAGCATGCCAAGTACCACGTTAATCCCTATCCTCTTTTTTCAAGCTAATGAAGAGTCAATGCAGAAAAGAGTGGATGGATGAATGAGTAGGAAATAATGAATGCCTTTAAGCGTGGTCCAAAATATTTGCAGCTTGGCTAGGTTTTAAGGACAGGAGGTCCTTAGTGTGGTAAATCATGATCTTGACATATTACTAATTGGCTACTTCAAGTGCCAGTTCCCAATACTGAGGACAGACAGCTTCCCCAATAGCTGGCTCAAGAAGTTATCTAGGCATGCAAAGTTCATGTCTGGATATTGAATTTCTCCGATGTTGCAGTGTAGTTAAATGCAGGATCTCTAACTATGTCAATCTAATCTAAGACATAAATCTATACAGAACTGAAGGAGAAAGATAAAGATATAAGAGACTAAATAAACTTACGAGAGTGAAAGAACAAGGAATAAGGAAATATAATTTATATTTTACAACTAAGAGTCTTTGGTGATCAAGCAGCAGAAACTTAGTATTTTCCAGCAGATTTTCTTCTGAACAGGCTTCAAATGAATTCTATTTTCAAAAAGAAAAATCCACCAATTCCTGGGTAAGTATCATATAGACTGGAGTGGTATGTGCAATACCCAGCCTCTGTGGACCAAGGCCAATCAGTGGGACTCCAGCAAAGTTGTGGGTTTGGATGAATGGGACACAGTTCTCTTCAGCTCCGCTACCTGCTGCTCTTAACTGCACTGCAAATCAAGTGAGGAGTTGGACACCTCTTTTCATAAAGGCATTTTTTTCAATGAAATCTTTTCATGAATGCAGTCCACAGCCTGGAGACAAGAGGTAGAGGACAGAACTTGTCATTCACACTGTCACGTGTTTCAAATTCAGACAATCCAGGAAAACAGTAAGTTCACACAAGTGGTTGGATACCACAGGAGCAGAGTGTCCTCAGCTCTCACTCAGGCAAGTGGGAGAGGGAGTGAAGAAGAACCACTGGCTTTTCTCAGGAGCACGGAGCATCTTATAGTATTGAGCTAAATATCTGTCAGGAGCAGGAACAGACTGCAAGAAGCTCAGAGGTCTGGAGAAGATTACCTGAAGGCAGACACAGCTGGAATGGTAGGAAGGGTTTTTCTTGTATATTGGGAGGGAGCTGTGGGAACAGCTCAGAAGGAGTAAGCATGCAGTCTTACATCAAGGTGCAACATTCCTTTAAAGTTTCCATTGCACAGGCAAGATGTATGGGAATATAAAGGGGACCGTCAATGTGAAGACCTCAGTGTATGCTGTATATTATATTCTCTTTATGGTAGCATGATGGGGGAAATCTTAAAAGTGCTTGAATATGTCACTGTTCTAAATTTGGTGACGAGAGAGGATAAGAAATATATATATGCCAACGCAAACTATGATGTTCAGACAAATCTTCCGAATCTATCTTTTAAGGACTATTAGACAGAAGATCACTGAATAGCTGTTGAATGGAACAAATTCTTTGCTTCTTTTTTTTTCCAGATAGGTTTAAAACACATGAAGATACAATAAAATGGCAGTCACGTCTGTCATTTTATTGTTACCTGCCTCAGTTAAAATACAATGGGTACAATGTATTTTACATGGCTTTCTGAGTGTTTATGTATATCTATATATATCTCGTATATATGCATATACATCTATATATACACAATTGAAATTATTTATGTATATATGTTATGAAAATTGTTAGGAAGAAGTAAGTTTAGTAAAAAATACCAATTAAAAAAAAAGTTATTGTAATGTACATCCTTTTCTCTATGTTCAGCCCTTTTTTTAATTTCTTGTATTACTCAGTCCCTCCTTTTCTCAGTCCTTTCAGTACCTGTTCTACGTCAAACTAATTTCTTCTGTACTGTTTAATGATTCTTTTTAATTTCAAGGTATTTTTTATGACTGTCTGTATTCATCTTCTTTTCTTTTAGTTATCTGTTTGTAAACTCATTTGTCTTCACCTTCTCCACTCTTTCTTCATTGCCACTGAAGCAGCTTTAAAGAGGGCTTTTTTGAGACTTCCTTATCATAACAATCACTAGGAGAAATCACAATCTGAAAATAGAAAGATAATATATATATATCTATAATTTAGAAGAATCATATACGAAAGCATTGGTTTGGCTTCATGAAAATTGTTATTTTTCTGAACCTCATAACTTGATCAAAATGGTGGACTCTAGCATATGATAGACAGCTCGCTGTGTCTATTACTGAACTGGAGTCTCATCATGAGTATCTGAATTGGGCATTACATAGGTGGGAATAATGTGAACAGTGAACTCCCCTTCCCAGGCCTAGTTTACAACATCTGACTTGAAACTCTTGCTGTGGTGGAGTAGACCAAATCTTGTTGACATGGGAGGAGTCAAGTCTTAGTAATATATGCTGCTGACTTGTTTTTGTTTGACATTTCAAGGGTAGTCTGATGAGTTTGGCCCTAGTTTTCCCTAGGACACTATGTTTATCTGCCTTAAAAGGGTCATTATACTTGCAGATGATCTGGTTTTGTAGCTAGTTAATAAGAACTTCAGTGAGTCTCTGTTGGCTGAGATCTTTGTTAATGTACCCTTCCAGGACCATGCACAGATACCAGAATAGTACTTTTACTATTCTGAAAATAGCAGGTCCAGGATTCCAGGAAACGCAGGGAAGTCATAGCCTTGTCCAGGAAATAAAGCGTTAGTGGTTATATCATATCTGTCATCATCCATGGTTTTGGCCTTCTTTAATTTTCTTTCTATGTTGCATTTAGCTAAATGTGTTCTCTTCCTCTGTTCTCCCAAGTTTTTTTCCAAGACTTCTTTTTCTGTCTCTCTTACTCAGAATGCTTCTCTGAATTTCTTCACTCTTCTATGATGTCTTTTCTTCGTCTCCTACACTTTCTCCCATTATCATTTTGTTTCATTTTCCTCTCTTCCAAATGTTACTTTTGTCTCTTTCTTTTCATCTTTCCAGGGCTGTAATCAGGCCCAAAGAAAAATCCCAACCTCATCTTCTCTTCCTGTACCCTTCAGCTTTCCCATGAGCATCATGTATAACTGTTCTTTGATCTAGATGCTCTCTTCCTATCTCTTTCCTCCCTGCAGTCTCCCTAAATGTGGGTTCTCTAAATCTTTAAAGCCCAGCACCTATCTTTGCACACTTACTAACAGGAATTGCTAACCACTGACAAAATGCTCCATCTGTGTGAAAGTGGGTGTCTCTGATTAATTTTAAAGATGGATTCTCACAAGGTATATCGACAGATGGGTCTGAGGAATTGATGGAGCCACCTTTTAACCTGGAAGGTACAGTATTCAACAAAGGATATACATCTTCTTTAATGAAAGAAAAACTCTCTTCGTAAAAGTAAAGATAAATTTCTGAGAGTGAATTTTAAGGGCAACAGTCTACAGAATTTTCTGTAGTCCATGTATAAGGGGAGGGGGGCAGTGTTTGGACAACGGTCATTGATTGCAATCCTCTTCTGCTAGAAGCTGAAAGAAGCAACTCGAAGGAGATCTTTATTCCTAAATGTAAGACCCACAGTTATGAAAATGTACCACAGTATTGTGCGCTGAGTCTGCAGGGCTCTCTAGCTTATAATAGTTTTCTTGTCTCGTCTGCCAATATTATAATGCTATCTTTATATGATGTGGAAGATATTGATACTGTCTTGCTACTGCATAAATCTGACTTCCAAATGTCAAGGTGCCAGCAGAGTCAAAGTGATCGTTTAGTGGACAGGGTGGAAAAGAAAGTATCATTTGTAGTTGAAGCTTTTTGAAAGAATGTGCTGTTTCCATTACTCTGGATTACATGCTACTGCATGGGGATAGGATAAAAAAAATCCAAGCATGCTGTAATTGTCCTTTTTTAAAGACACCAGGAGAGATGGAATCTCATTGTAATTTGTAAATATTCTGTGTTTCTCTCATCACTGCGTCTCAGTGGTAGTTTCAAGGGTAGTCAGTACAGATCTAATTGTGATATTATTGAAATTAATTGTAAAACTCATTTCTTTCCAAGGAAGTTGTTAAAGCTATGATGAGTGCTTTTGGAAATATATTCTGTGTCCCTCTTGTTTTCTATCAGCTGAATTTTAAGACTAATGAGCTTTTAGAACATGATTGATATTCCACAAACATTTATTTCTCTAAATATAAATATATAATCAGCATAAACCCTTAAAGGTTTGAAACATTTTTCCTACGTATGATTAAAGTGAATCAATATCAATTTATAGTGTAATTAGGAAAACAAAACAGAGGCATTCATCAGAATATAATGAATCTATTACTGTTCTGCATTTTTCCTCATATGTGCAGTGGATGTCTTTATAACTCCCAATTCTTTTGGTTCGTCCTCCCCTCCTCTTTTCCCTAAACTAGCTGATGAATGGATCGTGGCTAACCCAGAGCTGACAGACAAAACGAAGTTTACTATCAATGGCCTGCCGACTGGCTCGAAAATCCTTGTGAGAGTAAAAGCTGTGAATGCTGCTGGTGAAAGTGAGCCCAGGTACCACCCACAGCCTATTTTAGTCAAGGAAGTGATAGGTAAGATCCTCCTGCCTACGCTCACCCACAAATATACTCTGCTTCCATACTTAGTTCTATTTCTTAAGGCTAATACTTGTTGGAAACTGATGATATGCCCTTACAAAGCCATTGTGAAGTGGCTAGAAATCATTAAACCCTCTTCAAAAATATTAGTAATTATTTTTATTTCTTTCATTTCTAAGCCTTTATTGCTCAGCATTTCAAGGCTTTTTTTTTCTGCAGAACTTGAACTTGATGTAAAGCTGCACTAAATTTTTTTTGAGTTGCACTAAATTTCTCACCTGTTCCTACCACCATAACATTTGGTGTTACAAAACCCGATGGTGTACCACATGTAACATTGCGGGACCAAAAAATTTAAGATACCTCACTCATTAGTCACTTCTGGGAATTGTAGACCACAGAGTCTCCTATTTGCACTGATGCCCACCAGTACTGCCTAAGACAGAAAAGAGGATAAATGTCAAACACAAGACTTTGGCTTTTTTTCAGAACCTCCAAAGATTCGTCTACCAAGACACTTAAAACAAACCTATACTCGAAGAGTTGGAGAAACTGTGAATCTCGTTATTCCTTTCCAGGTAAGAACAACAACGACTGTCAGGAAAACACTACTACTTCTTATATTGCTGCTTTTTAACTTCTTTCTGTGTAACTTTGGTCAGCCAGTGAGTTAAGTTAAGCAGATGTGGCAGCACACAGAAATATACAGTGCTTGAAAGCTTGAAAAGCTTTTGCTTTGATATCTTAAAGAAATCATGTTAAGCAAATTAATGAACTGGGTAACTAGCTTAGACAGACCGGTTTGTCATCTGTCATCCAAAGGACACTTATAAATCCTCCCTGTAGACATTACATGTGAGATAATCGCTAGTACAATGCACAATGGTTACACTGGCAGTAGATAGACATGATATCAAGGGTGGGACTATAGGATTTAATCTTTTTCTTGTCTTGAGAGAGGAAAAGGGAGAAGAGTGGGCGTAGTTTCACTGTCTCCCATTAGAAACTGCAACTTTTAAATCCTTGAGATCACAGCTACAATGTGACTCTTTCCAAAGATATAGCGCATGCTTTCCCACAGCATTGTGTTAACCTTCGTTCCCATACCTTTCATAACAGTGACTGCCTCTTTACCTGCAGGGTCCTTAATCTTTTGAATACAAGAATTACAGCAGAATTTATTTCTATTTAATCTCTGCACAACTAAAGATACCATGTGGCCATAATGGCTTCTACAAGGCTGTTAAAAGCTTAATTAAAAGCTTGATCAGCGATAGACTGCACAATCCGGCTTCTACAAGGCTGTTAAAAGCCTAATTAAAAGCTTGATCAGCGATAGACTGCAAGATACACTGCTGTTGAGAAGTTCAAGGAATATTCTATGGTTATTCTCTAAAATAAGGCATTAAAGGTGTGAGACAACTCTTTTCAGACGGCATTCACCTTGCAGAGCAGATGCTATGGTAAAGCAGGTGGAATTCACTCTGACTTAAGTACCTAAATTGAGCTCTACTAGGCCCATAAAAACGGCACACAAAAGATGTCAATCCAGTCTATTTAACAACTATTCCAGCTGCTTTTGCAATGAAAGAAGAGAGTTTGGGATCCCTAGAAGTTTAGTCCACTACTTTCCTCTTCCACTGGTACTGTAGTGAATGTAGATGCTTTCAGACAGTGAAATACTTTGTTATGCATTTTCTGGATTTTTCTCCTTTTTTGTTTTAGAAAACTGGAAATCAATTGTCAAATTTAGCCAAAATTTGCAAATATTTTGTCTCCTGGAAAAAAAAATGAAAAAAAGAAAGAAAGAATGCTGCATTGTAGGTGAATTAATATGATCATATCTCAAATGCTGTATGATTAAAAAAGAATTCTGTTTCTGTCAGGGTGTTAGCAAAAAATGGGAAACTAGCCCATTTTTCTCTTCTACCCTTTTCTCTCCCGAAATCATCTACAAACTGTTTCCTTGCTTCTTACAGGGAAGACCAAGGGCAAAAGTATCATGGGAGAAAAATGGTTCTCCAATCGACAAGAACCAAATCAACATCCGTAACACTGAAAATGACACTATCATCTTCATCCGAAAGGCAGAAAGGAGCCACTCTGGAGAATATGACATGAAAGTGGAAGTAGAGAACCTGGAGGACAAAGCTACAATAGATATTCAGATTGTTGGTATGTTTGGGGAAATGGAAATAAATGTACGCCAGAGAAGCATCCAGCTATTCCAAGGCTATAGGAAAGCAGAGGAATCCCAAAGGGAATCTTTCTCAACAGTGATAACTCTCCACATCAAATTACTTGGCTATACATTTGCGGTGTCTAAGTAAACCTTCCCACACAGTGGCAGGTGCTTGTTGCAACATGTCAGTCTCTTTTTTTTCACTGTTATGCTTTTCATGTTCTTGCCTATCCAGAATGAAAGCTTTTTCCAGTTGAGGGGATCCATAGCCAGAAATGGTGGTAAATTCACAGTAACTTTGTCACAAGTGTAATGTGGAAGAAATAAGAAATGTTGAAAGTACATGAATGTAGGAAAGACAGACAAGAAAACACATTTACTCTTCATTTTTACCAATCTATTTCTTTACATATCAAGCAAAACCGGTATCAAAGCCTTTATAATGATTGTCCTACATTGTCTCTTAGGAACACATCCTCAACTGGTTTTAACTTTTCCAAAATATCATGTCCTTATGCAATTAAAGAGTACATGCATATTAGAAACCATACTCACAAAGTGGCCAAGTTAGGTTTTTCATTAATTCTGACATGTCTTAACTTTTGAAAGTCTTAATTTGCAACCTCAACTTCCTTTTGATGTTAGTTTTGGCACGTGCATGTTGTAAGAAAGAGAGAAAGAAATCAAACTAAGTGGAAGATGTGTGTAGTAAAGAAAGAGAGAGAGAGAAAGGAAATGATGGAAAATGTCAACTGCCATATTTTCGTTACAGATCGCCCAGGCCCACCAGAGGTTGTAACTATTGAGGACGTCTGGGGAGAGAATGTAAATTTATCATGGAAGCCACCCAAAGATGATGGCAATGCTGCCATTACTGGGTACACTATTCAAAAAGCAGATAAGAAGAGTATGGTAAGTAATAAGGAGATGTTTAAAAGGCTGATGTACCCATGAATTCCTCATATTAGAAATAAAAAGCCTTACATGCTTAAATTGATGTAGATGGATGAAGCATTGATTAGTCAGTGCTTAGAAAATCTGCAAGGCATCTCCAAAAAGTCTAAAAATCTCCTGTTCACTCTATCTAAAGCCTAATTGAAATGTTTTCAGATAATGCCAAAGACGAGGACTAAAAAGGAAAGGACAAGTGGATTTGAGGGAAATAATTCTGATTTTTTTCCTTTGTCTCAGTAGAGAAAATAAAACCCCAAAATATTATTATGAAGTCAGTAGATTGCTACTACAATCAAAAGATAGTGCTGTTGTTTTCAAACCTGTAATGTTACAATGTGTAAGTCATTGCTACTCCTTACTAACCACAGCAAAATGGTACATATGTAATTCATAAACTGCTTTGAGATGTACAGATGAAAAGTACAATATAGAGATTTTTTTTTTTTTTAATTTTCATTACACTAACATGAATTTTACACTTCCTTAAAGGACAGTAGTTGGATTCTTAAATTTAACACTTATTGCAAATTTAAACACTGGAAATCTAGGACAATATTTTGGGAATTGTCTTATCTAAGGAAAACCTTTTGTCACACCCTCCACCCTCCACCCCCTATCCCGCCCACTTAAATATGTTGATCTACTTCATGGTATGATCAATTAATTGTCCCCATGTTAATATTTCCCATCCTTAATTTTTGACTTCTCTTCAGACTGTAAGAAGTGATGGTCTCTGTACAGCGACCAGGACAATCATGTCCCCTGTCTCTAAATTACTGTGTTAAGGAGAAAGCAACAGTAGTCTCTAGGGTCATGGATCATTCAGGTCATAGTATCCCCATATTCTCTGTGGTGTTGAATTTTGCAATTCTGGCAAAGATGGCTGCCTACAGAAAAGTGTTTTCCCAAAAGGCACTTTGGCTCTTAAAGATGACCAGACATCAATGCAAACTGTGGCACAGGGAACTCAGCACAAGTTCATCTTTAGAAAAGCAAGAACGCTATGTAGGGCAGAGTAAAGAAAAGCAAAAAATCATTGTTGTGCTCATACTGCACTTCATATTAATTGAATTTTTAACATTAAACTCATTCAACTCAGTTAGTTAGGTATTGCATACGAGGACAGCAATCACACATCCTGTTACTGCTGCAAGATTAAAGTGCTACAACCCACCTCCCCATCTGATCCTTCAGATATTAGAGGACCACTTGCATAAAATTACATTTCTCGTGAACACTCAATCTGTGGAACAGGGAGTAAATTAGTGCATTGGCCTATTGTGAGGAAATGTAACTGCAGAGTAGTACATGCTGCTACTTTTCTTATCTGCAGCAAATCCTTCCCTGTCAGCAGTGTGGACTAGGAATGAAGCAGCCCGCCTTGCCTTGCACAATGCAACCTTTGTAATATTGGATTTCTTAAAACAAACCCTCCCAGCTAAGAGTTTGTAACTATTTAGTAGGGTTCACCTTCCATATGGCCTTCACTGCTCAGAATTATCCCTCATTTCAGATAGAATAATTATTTATTGCCAGCTTCGCAAATATAGTATCCATTAACATCCCCTTAGAAGAAAAATCTCATTCCCACAAGCTTCATGATTCTTCCAAAGAGTAAAAGGCCGAGAGGTGCAGGGTGCTGAGGGGAAGCTCACTCTCTGTGTTTGTATCTTTCAGGAATGGTTCACAGTAATCGAGCATTACCACCGCACCAGTGCCACCATTAACGAGCTCATCATAGGAAATGAGTACTACTTCCGGGTCTTCGCTGAAAACATGTGCGGCCTCAGTGAGGATGCCACCATGACCAAAGAGAGCGCTTTGATTGCAAAGGATGGTTAGCTAATGATCCATTCCTTGTCAAAAGGGAAGGGGCGTGTAAGGCGATTAGAGGGAAAGGCCACATCTCTAAAGCATTCAGATGCATTCCTAGCCCCAAGACCAGGTACAGGTAACAGCTAGGACACTTCATAGCAGGACTTCTCGGTTTGTCCATAGTTCATAGTTGGTTTTTTAAATCAAGAGTGGGACATTTTTCCCATTTTCTGACATTTTCTATGATCTTGGATCTCAGACTCGTGCCACCACTGGCAGATCTAACTTGTCAAGAGCTGGAAGACTAAAGAAGCTGTTCTGCTAGAAGCGGTGGGTCACTGCCTCCCAGTGGAGACTGGGTGTCAGCTGTGCAAGTGCTCCCCTCCATTTAAGGCAGGATCCAATAAATAAGCATAACTCCTGCTCACATCTCTTGCAGATGGAGCTGGACGAATTCTGATTCAGTGGTCAGAAATGCTGACATTTAAGAAATTGTCAGTTTAAAGTGGTACTGTAAACTTTAAACAAATAATAATAAGTAACTGCCCTTTACGGAAGGGAAATTCTACAAATGGGTGGTTTAAAGGAAGAAAATCAAACCAGATCACCTCAGTTTGTCTGAAAGGAGGGAATACACGACTACCGTGATGTGGAGGACAGACAACCTGTACAACCCACACAGCCAGGCTGAAGGACTGAAGGCCCAGGGTACTGGACCCCACTTCCATTATTAAAAAGAAAACTACCTCTCTTTTAGAAATGGAATCATGAACAAAAGAATGGCTACAGGAATTGTTTTTCACCACTGCTTGCTTGCCCTTATCACAAGAGCAAGTATCAGGCCTGAGCTGCACTGAAGGCAGCACGGGAGCTTGGATTAGCTTTCAGTGAAGCAAAGATGTTTAACCATACCTGTGCACAGGAATAAATGTCAATCTGTCCAGCTGTTTTAAATGCCAGCTGTTTTTGTGGGAGAAGATGATTTCTTGATGGCAATCTCCATCACAGCGCAGGGATAAAGTGGCAGCGAGAATCTAGATTTTACTCCCGTATTTTCCTTGTACAGAAACTATATCCATTCAGGTTTCTGTATTGTTAGTGTGCTGTATGAAGCAGAAAGAAAAACGGATTTTCAGATACAAAGTCAGTTTGTAATCGGAACAAACTGTGAAAAGTAACTGGCAACAAAGTGAACAGAGCTTGTCAAGGCAGGCATCCTGCAGGACATCAGTCAGGATCTATCCTGTTCTGTAACACAGGGCATGCAGGCAAAGGCACAGAATAAACGTGTATTATTTTGTATACCACCTACCGAGGAAACAAAGACTTCTCAGACATCTACCCTATAGCATGACCGAGAGCTATAGCCTCTTCCCAGACTCACTTCCAGCCTCCCCTACAAGTGAAATTACTAGAGGCAGGTTGGTACCTAAAGCAGCACAGACGAGACCAGATTCAGACTTTTTTAGATGCTTGGGTATTTAGCTACATGCCAAAACTCTTTTTCTAAACGTTTTCTTTTCATTTCATAGGTAAAGTCTACAAATACCCAGTTTATGACGATTTTGACTTCAGTGAACGGCCGTTGTTTACTCAGCCTCTAGTCAACACGTTTGCTGTAGCTGGTTACAACGCGACTTTGAACTGCAGTGTTCGGGGCAACCCCAAGGTACAGCATCACAGTATCAGTTAAAACACGAAAGAGTTTAACTGGACAAAATAGCATTTTTAATATTTGTCTCACTCGCAAGCCAGGTTAAAGGCAAAAAGAGTGATGTGGGCTCTAGAGAATACGAAACAGGACCTGCTTACCTGTGTTATAGGCATTATAATAGTCGTTAAATCCACAGATAACCCAGTGAATAGGCAGAACCTCAGGAAGAGTCTGGGCTATCCTGGGGCTGGCACTGACAAGAGCTGTACAGTTAATGTATCAGTAAAGGCTGTTACTAAAAAAAGCCATAATTATTCCGTAAAAAGTTAATTATGCTTTAAGAAAGCACATTTTCTTGAATACTCTGGGGACCATGCTGAGTCTCAGACCCACTGCAAAACACACCTTCCAGTTTCTTTGAGTTGTGTCTTTTTGTGACCCATTTTCTGTTGTGAAAAACTGAACTGAACTAGTGAAATGAGAACTGAAGAGTATTCGAGAAGTTTGCTGTTCACAGTTTCTGACTGTGCAAATTGCTGTGAAAAAACATGCTTTTCTTATTCACTTAGAGTAATCGGATGTTAAAAGCTATTGCTCAGATATTTGCTATCATTACACAGCACCTTTTATACTGATAATAGGCTTATATTTATGACTAATTATGTGATAGGAGCTGCACTGAAAAAATCTTGCTTAAAAACACAGGCCTGATGCAGCCCATGTTTATGTTTGAGTTAAGAATTACAGTTTCCTTTCTATCGGTACTTTATGTATTTTGTAAAACTTCTGGATTTCTCAACTTTAACTGAACATCACAAGAAGTGGTAAAATATTTCAGTTCCTAGGTTTGTGTATGGGCCTTTCTTTTGTTTTTACCACAGCCCAAGATAACCTGGCTGAAAAACAAAGTCATTATAATGAATGACCCAAGGTACCGAATGTTCAGCAACCAAGGTGTCTGCACCTTGGAGATCCGCAAGCCCAGTCCCTATGATGGAGGTACTTACACCTGCAAAGCAGTCAATCAGCTCGGGGAGGCAGAAGTTGATTGCAAACTGGAAGTAAAAGGTAAGGGATTTAAAACATTGCAAATGCTGTGTTTGTCTGAACACCATCTACACAGAAGACAAAAGTATGCAAGGCAAATGAAAAAGGGAGTAAAGGGAGTTCAAACAACTTTTTTTAACTTCCCTGGATTAAAATAACGACTTGGTTAGGAAAAAATAAATTATATTGGTTGGTTTGTTTTCTTTTTGAGGACCAACATATTGTCCTTACGCTATATTGTCTTCCGTCCCCAAGCGCCCCATGCCGATTCACATCTTTAGTGATTGCAAGGACTTTTTCACAAGTGAGAAAATGGTAGACTGTGACTATGCCACCTGCCTGAGAAACTCTAGTTAAAGACTCAGCCACAGAGCTCTTTGGGAAAACATGAAGAAAATCATCTTGGACAAGAGACAAATCTCTGAAGGAAATGGCAAGGGGAGAAGGAGAGAAGGAAGAAAGATTAGTTCAGGGCAGACTTTCTCTTCTTTAAAACTATTAATTAAACAAACCAGAAATTTGCTTCCAAGGAAATTTGTTAGCAAAATCATGTAGCAAAAAGCAGTATTGTTCCCAAGGACACAATTTAGTTGTAATTGCTGTATTTGCTTTAAGAACAAAGTATTCAAAATGATGGTTTTTGCAAATACAGGGAGATGATGAATTCAGTTACTCTTCTACAACTGAAAACGTATCTTTATTTTCACTAATAAATAAATTTTATGAATTCCAGGTAGTTTAGCATTGACTGGGATATCATGAATAGCAATAGGATTTGGATTGAACTAATAAAGAATAATCTCAGGACTACATTGTTCAGAAAATTACTTCCTAGGAAAAGATGGGGTCATATTTAGTTGGACTAACTTCCAGCAAGGGTTTTGTTTCAACGATGGAATAAGCTAGGTATTTCTGAAAAAATTAATCTGAGGTTATATGCAAGGAAAGCTGCCTAAAGACAGCTGACAGGAGTGTCTAACTCAAGAATTTAGAGGGAATTTAAGCTAGCTGAATATGGCTCTAATTATATTATTCCATCGTGCTAGTCTGTAGTGAAAGCCATAATGTTTAATATAATTATGGATTGTATTGTGTTTATTTTGGATTTCAGTTTCCATTTTCTGTCTTTTCTGATATATCTTTTCCCACAGCTGAAGTCTGCTAGCAAGAAGCCATTGCAATAAATGGCTTTGGTTTGGTCTATGAAGTTAAACATTTAACTACTGTAATGAAAACATGCATAATACTCCTCAATTTTCATTATTTTTAAGTTACTGTGTTTAAAAGTTGATGTCCTCATCCTAGAAGTATGATTGTTTTCCTTAACCACAAGCAAACTTTCCATTTCACAGCGTAACAGAAGACCACATCACCAGAGAAGGTTGCCTCATATTTTTTTTTTATACTGAAAGGCCAAGTTAATTTGCTATTTCATTAAACTTCCTACGTCCCCAAGTCCTAAAGTTCTTACGCATGTTTACACTCAGTTGTAACTTTTTAGTCTTCAGCACTTTGCTTGTAGTACAATCAAATACTACATTTTAAATACAAGAAGTTGTTTGTTTCTCTCCCTTATTTTCCAAAGTATTTTTACATATAATGCGTAGAATACTGTGAAAGATTTTTAAGATAAGAAATAACTAAAATCTCTCCATTTTAGGAAGTCCAAGCTCCAAATGTTGCCATGAATTACATATTATTCTTCAGTAATTCCCTTTCCAGCTGTTGTGAAATATAGATGCTTCTGTTGATCTTGGAACTTTTTTTCTCTGAGTATCAGCATGAATTAGTTTGCTGGTTTTGAAGTGTGATACAAACACCGTGTCATCATTCAGGCTCTCTTTTAATATGCAATAGTTTCCGAGAAATTGTTCTCCAGCAATGGAAGCTGCTCTATGTTAGAGGCTTCTTTAAGAGAGAAGCGTGGAGAGTTTTTTGCCCTTGATCAATACCATGGGGAATTTAATTTCTTACATTTATGGACTGGTATCTGAAACAGGTTGGGAATGCTTAGATCCTTTTCCAGTCAATTAGAAGTTATGTATCTAGGAAAAAAGCTACAGATTCCTTCATTAAAATGATCACTAGGTACAGCTGAGATGATGTCCCTGATGATTTTTGCTGACAAATGTTTACTTAAATTTCGTAGGTCCAGTTTTCTGAGTAGTGTTCTGAAATGGAGAAGATATTAACCTAAATCCCACCTCCCCTAGTTAATAGTTGGTTTCTGGACCCAATCTCATATCAGCCATCACCTGGTGCAGTCCCACTCCCTCCCACTGAGCTCGGTGTTGTGGTTCTCTCCCAATGGTTTGGGCTGTGAGCCCTCACCCTTGCTGAGACTCCTCTCTCCATCCTGGCAGGTTTAGCCATTACTTTTCGGCTCCTTTCTGGAGACTGCTTAAACCAGCAATTTGTAGGGCTTAGACATGGGACAGCTGTTGTCAGGGTTCAGCGCTGACACTCTTAACGTGACTGGCAGTTCTGCTGATGAATTCAAAGGGACCAGGATTAAGGGAATACAGCAGCTGTAGCTTGGCAAACCAGGGTAGGCTCAGGATTTGCCATATGATCCAGGCAAACGAGTATTAAATAGCCGGAGCATAGAAACATAATTGTGTCTTCTTTCACTCTTCTATTGACCCATGTGTTGAATTATCATTCTCTTAAGTTTCCCAGCCTGTTCCTTCATTTAGGAGGGCTTTTCGGATGACTGCTCATCACACTGACGCAGAGCAAAGAGTTACGGATTTCTGACTCGCTGGAAAGGAATTGCAGTGTGTGTGTGTGTGTGTGTGTGTGTGTGTTTTTATATATACCGCTTTAAACTATGGTTCAATTGTACTCCAGCTAGTAACAGTCATGATCTGAATTTGTAAAATGAAGAGATCCAGTTGAGATCCAGTTGTCTGAATAAGACTAGTAGGTTCAAGGCTACACTGCCTCCCTGGTGAAAGTACAGTCCTGCTCTTACAGATCTTTGGATAGTAAATCGTGCTAAAAAGCTCCATGCCATGCAACAGTATATATTGCAGTAAGTGAATTTTCCTTATGTTGGCAAGAATTTATTTTATCCATTTATTTCTGAGGTGCTGGAGATCTGAAATTTATCATGCATTTACATAAGGCCAGTACAAGGAATATCATAGAATTACTGACAGAACAGTCTAGGATTTCTGATTTTGCAGTTTTGGAACTGAGTAGCTATGAATACTCTGGCTATGAATACTATCATATGCTACAATTTTCTGCTTTTTTAGCCATTCACTTACAGTATTTCAGTGCCAAATTAAAACTAGTTGTTACTAAATGTAATGCTCATTCATTGAAAAATAATGAAAGATAATTGCAAGCATGATAATAAAAAAAATTTAAAAATACAGTTTTATTTTGTTCTCAAAAAAAAAGTTGCATTTACTGATGTTATTTCAGATAGACAGTACTTCATTCTTGTGTTTTCAGTTTTAGCTAAGCGAAATTTAAGACAGCAGTTATATGAGCTGCTTGGTGCAACTGCACATATAATGGCTTTTTTTGTAAATATAAACGTGCTGAAAAAAAGTCATGTAACAGATCTTAGGCAAAATAATAACTGTCTCAGATATCTTGAAAGATGATGCATACATAGAATCTAATTATATGTATTATATAAGGAAAATTCAAAATATGTATCTTTTAAGTTTGAGGTAGATCCCTAACTATGGCTGTAAATCTCTCATTACAAGCAGTAAGGAACTGATTCCTTATCAGCTTCACTGGGGTCAATTAAAAGATTCAGATATAGCAACATGCTTCTTTTCTCATGAAACAAATGTTTTTGGAGAATGTTTGTCTTACGAGTGAAATCAAGGTTGGTGATCGCTCAATAGGTTGATGATAGCAAAGATGCTGTATAAGAAATATTTAAAAATAAGGTGTTAAGATCAACTGGGAAGAATTTCAAATGCGAATAAATACCACTATAAATATTCTAATTCTGCAGTGATATATGATGGAGTAATTAACCCAGGAGAACCATTCTTCTTGGCGGGGGATAATCAGGTTTATAATAAGCATACTCCTCTGGACATTCCATTTCATTCCCTTCCTCTCTTTCCACATGCAAACGCATTTTCTGCATGCAAAGTGTGTATTTATTTGCTTTCTTAGATTAAACTAGTTAGTGTCTCATGGCATACAATGTCTATGTCACATGAGCAAAGAAGGCCAAATTAATCAAGAATGTGGGTATTTAACATCTGAGTTAAAGAGGTTTTAGACATATTTCTGCTATAGTACTGGACATAGGACTACCTGTCAATAAAGAATTTATTTAATGACTGTGACTACCTTTGACCACAACACTTAGACATCTCCAGGAGACAGAAATTTGAAAGACAGCTCTCCGTTACCTTGTAGAATTATTGAAAGAATAAAAATTTCATAATTATATATATTATATAATAATGCTGTGCTTAAAAGGCATTCTTTATTACAGAATTATAGTCTTTGTTTAGAAGTTAGTGCTAAGAGTGATAACCCATGCCTGAGCCTGCACTATAGAATCTAAGGATGAAATCTTGATCCAATTGAAATCACTGAAAAATTTTACTTCTAAGCATATAATTTGACTGAATTTCTTCTGGAGCTTATTTTAAATCGGGGTTCAGAGAATTTGGTTCTTCCTATAGAAATGTATTTGCTTGTCACTTTGCCCAAATCCAGAATATTGGTAGTGCAGTTTTAAAATGTCAGAGATGCCCAGAAACTAGTCTCCAGAATATTATGCATCCAAATTTACTATTTTAAAGCTAAAACATATTAAGAAATTAGGCTAGATGATGTTCCTGTAGTATTTGAAGTATAAATACCTTTATCTTAAATGGCTACAATAGGCACAAAGTTGGGTGCTTTTACTTATTAACATATGGATGTTTTATAGAGTCAAAATGTTTAATTCAAGGTAAGGGCTCCTATAGAGTAAATAGCATGCTTTAAGTAATGTAAATGTGAAAATGTGACAAAGTACCTAATTTAGTACACAGGTATTAGTCTGTTATTAGTGTTATTAGTCTGTACTTGATTATTTTGCCTCATAGAGTTTTGACATATATATATATATATGCTTCGGTGTTATGTGTGTGCTTTTTTTTCCCTGGTGGAAAATATTATATATATATATGCGTTAGCTTCCTTGAAGCTACATTTGGAAACTTTTATCATAAATATTAGTTGCATAATTTGGTTCCAACCTAGACTTTAGACTAATTACAGGAGTTATAGCTACTTGTATGTATTAATATAGCTTTTACATATTAATGATAATTTTGAAGTGGAACTGGATCCCTACCTTTTACTCTTCATGTGCTTCTATTCCTATATATTTTTACATGACTAAGGATTAAAACATCACCTTGACATAATCGTAAGCATAATTTTACTCAACATTTTCTCTCTCCTTTTGTGTTTGTGATTAAATTGTTACCTCTTTTTCTCTCTCTCCCTTAGTTACACAGTAAGGATTTTTGAATGTATAGTGTCATCTAAGGTAAGCTTTCATATGGTTCTTGCATATGAAGCTTATGTCTGTTTACAGGTCATACAATGTCTGCCTAGTATGGCATGATTTTCATTATTTCACTTAATGAAAATGTTTTTTTTAAGATTAGTAGCATGATAGTTTTAATGCCTATAAATCCAGATTTTTATAATAATTGCATGTTACGGTAATTGCTCTTAGTAGTACATCCCACTACCTTTAATAGTGCATGTTTCAATAGAATTTAACAGTGCATGAGTTAGCATGATTAATTAGCATGAATAAAATGCAAGTAATAACAGAGAATTTTGCATTTACAGTCAGTTATTTTTATACAGGAATACATCTCTACATAAATGAAATATTTATTCCACAGTTAATTTCATTTAAAAAGGAATGATTCACACCACAACTTGCACTCCATGACTTGAAAAGAATGCCAAAAAAGCATGCTTTTTTTTGTCTGTATTGTGCATCTACCTAAGGTCGGGAGCAAAGAGTTCTGCAACAATGACGGTGTTAAAGGAGACAGTGCACTCTCATAATCACTAGTAACTAATAGCACTTTAATTGGATAATCCTTGTGTTAATAAAGGTTATAAAACCCTAAAATCTGTACTCGGGATAAATGCTATATGTAAGTATGAGCTCAGCTGCATTTAGCTGAAGCATTCAGAGACAGTGACTATCTTCATCCTGGCAATGTGCTTTTGCTTTAAAGCTTTTGGTGTGTTCCAGAAAAGGCTCCAAAGGTAAGTGCAGTTATTAGCAGGTGGTTTTGCAACTTGCAGAACCAAACACTCCATGCAGATTTGTAAGAGGAATGTACGTAGCTTTCTTACAACAAATGCCACTCTTTGCCTAGAGAAAGGGCAGGCCCTAATGTTTTAGCAAAATATTTATCTTTTCCCCACTGTTCCTTCCAAATGCCATTCAATTTCAATGAAATTAACAGAAATACCCACATGTTTAGTTTCCATGACAATTTTTTTCAATGGCATAAAATTTCATTCTTACTTTGGATTGTTTGTATTAAATTACTACTTCCACATCAGTGGGATCTGGAGTGCCCTGGCTGGTGTGTTAGACACTACATACTTGTTTTTCTGAGCACTGAAAGAAATATTTTATCTTGGATTTCTAAAATTATCAAAAGTTCTTCAAAATTTTTTGCCTTGTCCCTTTTTCCAGAAGGCCAAAGAAAACATTGAGTACTTCCAATGGCTTTCTTATAAGCCCAGGTTTCTTTCAGAGTGGTAATTTAAAAGAGGTTTGGTTCAGTTTTTTTACTCTCGTTGGCTAAGCCAGTCAGAAAGCACATTGACATAAATGGCTGGGAATGGTACTTCTGTTCAGTGAGTGTTGACTCCAACCACCATAAAACTGGTGGGGGAAAAAAAAAAAAAAAAAAAAAAGAAAAGTTTAGTTTCACAGAGACAGGAAACAGAATTTTGGCAGGGCTGGAGGAACACTGGATACAAAAGGTCCCTATTTGTCAGTGGGGTTTGTGCACGTGGACGCTCACTGCTGCAGCTGAGGAAGATACTGGCCGCAAGTGTGGAGTGAGACTGCCCTGAGGATTGGTGCAGGACCTCTCACAGCTTTGAGATCACATACTGATAGCTTCAACCCCTGGGAAAACTCTAGAGCTCTCCGGGAGTAAGCACCTGGATGCAAGGTGATTACATGTGAGCTATTTTTTATTCAAAAGCGAATCCAAAAATCATTCTTCAGACTTTCCCAGCTAATGAAAGTTCTGACTTTCATCATCCCTCTGGAGTCTGAAGGCACCTGTATCTAAAATCACGTTGTTGTTTTATTTTTCATATTTTTACTTGGGTCATCCCACCTGTTATTTTCAAGCAACATGGTAAATATTTTGCTAAATACTTATAAACCATTACAAAACTCAATGGTAGCATAATTTGAATGTCTCTGCATGTTTTCCACAACTCATCACAGTCAGGTGTTTTCTACGTTGTTCCCTCTGAGCTGAGTTCCATCTCTGACTACACTCCACCCAGCCTGATGGAAATCCAGGAGGGAGGGTTATTTGCGGTGAAACTCATCATAAAACTATTGCATGGGGTGAGATAAGTGACTGAATATATGACAACCTAGAAATGAAATTCACCCTGTGCAAGAGGACAGGAAAGTTCTGTACAATCCAGAGATTAAATAACGGTTAATTCTCGTGCTGGACTTTTGAACAGGGATGAATTTTATCACATGGCAAAATGAAGTATGCAATAGGGACTGACCAAATCTTTGTCGCTTACACCAGAAAGTAAAGGTACTGAGCTGTTGCTCCAGGGACCTTCAACCTGAAGGCTGTCTTGTTCCTTGTTTCTAGGTGGGCTTTCATTCTTCAGACTATTGATGGATGGAGTGCCTCCGCATATCATTGATTCATATATGCGCGAAGTACAGGCGGACAAGACTGAGGGGAAGTGAGAGTCCGTCCACAGAATTTCCTCCCACCGCACTGGAAATTGGTAGCAGAATTACAGCATTTTAGTTCTTGCAATGACAGAAGAAACGTGTGGTTGGGGAGTTTATTTTTTTTTCCTTTTTTTTTTTTTTTGGTTCTTATTTGTTGTTTTGTTTTCCCTACCTGCTCTTACTGAAAAGAAAGAATACGCATGGATTGCTTTGGGGTTGAAATGAAATCAACTGAAGACAACACACATTTTTGTAATGTTCGGCTTTATTTTCTGTTTGATATTGTGTTCTGTTTTTTAATGAGGAAAGAGGAGAAGCTATGTAATTAACAAGAGGAGGCAGTCAGTTTGTACTGGGTTCAGAGCATAACCCTTCTCAGACTGAAAGTACATGGATTAGCCAGTAGCTGTGCAATAAGACCCTTGGAATACATACCTCTTTGATAATGTATCTTACTCACCTGAGAATTGTTAAACAGAATATGGTTTTACTGTAACGTAATTAATACATATGTACTTAATGATCATTTAAGCTGAACATATCTTCCTTTAGAAGTTTGGATTTCCTGAATCTGACCCATCAGTCTCTCAACTGAGCTGAAATTGTTTTATTTAATGTACAATAAATATGAAGTGTTTAAGATCTATCAAGTTCTTGTTTACTGGTTTGGTTTTTTTAGGGTTTTTCTGTCTTATCTTACCACATTTCTTGTTTTACTTCCACATACTGTAAAGCAGGAACTGAGCCCACCACATCGAGTGGAAGTCAGTATCAGCAGTCACCTATCCCAATGGGCTTTTGCTTTAACGTACGTGACACAGAATGCAAGTGAAGATGAATGCTGCAGATACAAAATTGCATGTATCTGTATGTTTTCAATCTTTTAAATATTACAAATGCCAACCATGACTGCCTTCATCACTCTGGATCTGCCCCCTTCCTCAACAATTCTTGGAGCTCTTGTAGGTATTGTAGCAGACTCAGACCATACCATTTTTCAGTTTACTGTGCAAGCCAAAAATGCCTTAGATAAGGTCAAATGGCTACATTACTTTTCTAACTCCAGCATCATTAACCTCCAAGTATTCCAGGAGTGGGGACGATTGTCTGTGAGTCTCCAGCAAACTCCGAAGCATGTGAGACACAAGGTCACACATAATTAGGCCAGGTTGGCAATTCCCTATTGCCCTGTCATTTATTAACCAGTTCTCACTCTGGCTGTATAGATGGGGTGGGTTATATGCTTACTAACTAATGATTGATCCCCAATTAGGGTTCATAAAGATAAAGGTCTGCTTAGACCAGTAGTACATTACAAGATGGTTATTTGATGCCGGCGCCTTTTCAAACATCCAGCAGTCAGTAATTATGCAATAACAAAAGAATGTGTTACTATGAACTGCCACTACTGCGTTGTTTTTGCAGTTGAATTATCACTTCTTTCCCTTTGAAATGCATTTTCCCTTCTGAATGCATTTTCTCACTTTGCTCTGTAGCTCTGTAGGACGTGGCTCTTCAGGGCCAAGATTATTGGTTTGTGGTGGGGTAGTGTGTGGGGCTGTGGGTGTGGGGTTTAGTTGGTGGGTGGTGGTTTTGGGTTTGTTTGTTCTCGTGGTGGTTTTTTTGTTTGTTTTTTGTTTGTTTGTGGTTTTGGGTTTTTTTGGTTGTTTGGTTTTTTTTTTTTGTGGTTGGACTCAATGATCTTGGAGGTCCCTTCCAACCACTAAGACTCTGTGATTCTGTCTTACTCGCCCTGAGATCCATCTTCTTCTTTCTATCTTTGTGATTTCTTCTGCGCTGCCATGTGCGCAAGGAAGCAAATCTCCATTCCCAGTGACCCTGGACACCCCCACCTCCATTTCACCCTGCTCCTGCCAAAGTCAGTTCTCTCCCACCCATTCACTGACCCGGACACATGAAGGACAGCAATACATCTACTCAGAAAATTTCATAAAGGATTATTAATTTCTCTTTATTCTGTATCTCACCAGTGAATTGGGACTCCCTTCACCTGTTCTGAACCACGGAAGGCTGTGGGAGAGGGGCAGTCTGAATAGATGCCATGCAGGTTTAAGCATTTCAGCACACAGCCCTAATTTAAAACAGTATCAGCCTGCTGAGATGTATTATAGTCAGCATCAAAAGCTATCGTTACTGGGAGTTTGTGCTTTTTCAGTAAGCCAAAAAGGATGTGTGTCCCCATCTGTATTTTGTGTGCAATGGCGTTTACAGCTTCAAGCTCACATATCTATCCGCCCCCTCGGTCTTAATACACCACACATAATTACCTGGAAGCCAGCATAAACCTCAGCTTCTGCAGGCTCCCTGCCGACGGAATTAGCCACTCTAATTTCTACCAGATGCCGGCAGCGTTAAAAGACAAGCTGAACTAAGCTACTTTTCCCTGTGTGAACAGTAAGATGCCCTCAATTCCTCCCCGCTTGCCTTGCCCAGTGCTTGCCACTGGCTGGTCCCCGGGCTCCAGACGCACCACGCCAATAGGAAGTACTGGCTACCGGGCCGTGGGTGGAATTGAGATGAGTGGGCATTAGGGTGCTATAAATTCACGCTCTCACTAACTACGCTGGCCAGCCAAGGCTCTGGATTAAAAATTAATTGAAAATGACTTTGAGAGGAACGATAGGGTGGGGTGGGATAGGAAAGGAATTTCCAGTAGATGTGAAACAGGCTGCAGAACCTTTAAATAGCGAAGAACAGAAGAGATAAAGTTTTCATTTACAATGATTTGCTTAATGAGGGTCTCCAGGGATGGTGTTTGATAGATGAAATGAAGTGACAAAACCCACAGAGTTTAGAAAATGCTAATGAAATCTGCAGTTAATACCAGTTGGGAGAATAAAGATGTACCAAAGACAACAAAAACTACGGGCAAAACAACCTAGAGAGAAGAGAAGCAGCAGAATATCATGCCACAGAAGATATGGCCCAATGCTCCCAATAAGAAATTTCTTGAATGTCAGCTCACGTGGCATTTCCAGGAAATTAGTGAACCTGAAAGAGACCTAAAAGTAACAGAGAAGAACAAATAAAACCTGGTCATATGAGATAAAGTAAGAGCAAAACACAAAGGCCCCAGGAGAAGTGAAACTAGTAGTGGTTTTATGGCTAATGGTTGTGTTCCTAGATGTCTCATAATATGTGAAAACAGCTCTAGTCTTCAGCTAGTTGCATTATTCTTATTATTTGTTTGCTATGTACTCCATCAACTAATTTGTGCTGAGGTTAGAGTTCAGTAGCACCTTTAATAAGGTTTTTCTTTTCTGCACACTTTCACATATCTGGTAGGAATTTAGTATTTCTGAAAGCTCTGCCTTGGTGTGAAATTACACAGGTCAAGGAAATTTATTACTTGGAATACGAAGGCTGACCCAAACATGTATACACACACAGATACACACAAAGAAGAATCAAAGTTCATAAAAGAAGGGGGTTATTTTTAAGGAAGCCAGAGGAAAATACTTTATCTTCTCTTGGCTTGTTCTCCTTGCTCATGGAAGACCATTTGGCATATAACTGTTACTGTTGTATAAATACAGATCCATTCTCAAATTGCTGTATGTGGAGGCTGATACAGGCACTGTAGTTGTCCATTTGCATTGAAAGATCAGGGCCAGTGACAGCATATTCTTCCCTCGCTGAAAACAGTCTCACAGAGAAAGAAGACTCATGCAAAACACAAGCAAATCTTTTAAAGAGTGCTTAAATTGGGATATGCTGTTTATAAGGAGGTTTTTACTGAGCATCAGAAATTTAAAAAACAGTATTCCTTTTATAAAAAATGTTTAAAGCTTCCTATATTTCCTTTTAGGGGAAACAAATATATAATATTGCTGCTTTTACAGAGCATTCTGAAAGGAGGCTTACTTTATGAATGTCTTTTGTTGCATTTTGAGATACTGGAGCAAAAGGCGTTCTATTTTAAGCACAGTGTACTTACTGTCACTTGATTTTCATGGCCCGCTTTCCTGACTGACATGTAAAGCTGCTGCTTTGCTGGAGCAGAGAGCATTTGGAACTAAAACTGTATCCTGAATACTGCAGAAGCACTGGTAGTCTAAAGGCACTGGACTTACAAGTCTATGTTCTCTTGTTCTATGCCTTGCTCCTGAATACTTTTTAAATTAAAACAAATCCTTCCCAATCTCAGTGATGAATTCAGTAGGGAATCTATTTCTTCCTTTATTCCTTTATTATTATGTGGCCCTAACTTTTTACACCACTTAACTTTCCCCTCCGTTTCTTTTCCTAGTTTGTTTTCTCTTCTTTTTGTCTTGGTATCACAAGAAGCTCGAGCAACTTCTCCATAAATACCAGTACTGTTATGTTCATTGACCACAGCAATGCAGAGGATATTAAAAGAAACACTGTTTTACCTTTTTCCAAACCCAGTGATTTCAGTGGACTGGGCATGTGGCTGGCTGTGAAATCTCTTACATTTCCCTTTTCCCATTCCCTAGTTGGCTGTTACTGAATCTTTCTTCATTACGTTACGTATTACCCACTCCTTTGCTGGCAGTTCCTCTCTGTTTTGGCCCCTAATTTGAATTGCCATATCATAGTTTATTTAATAATAAGTACATGAAATCAGCTGATGAATGACATAGCACTTGGGATGCACATACCATGTTGAGGAATTTTGAAACCGCCCTTTTGCATATGTCAAGCATTCCTGGCCCTAGCAGTAGGGAAAGCTACTCAAAAACATATTAACTTTATCAAAGTGAGTCAGCTCACTTTGAGTAACAGGAAATGGCTGTGTCCAGGAAACTGTTGTTCTGGCCAGAGAGCTGCAGCCTCTGGCTCAAAATGGAATAGCTTGAAAAAGGGATTCCTGATTCTAAGACGCTATTGGGGTATATAATACTCCTTAGAGGTTGTACTTTACGCTATTTCATCTTTGATACAGGTACACAGTGCTTGGCCACCTTCTGAAACCACATACGTTCCTAGAGAGTCTAAAATTCTTCACATGACCAATTCAAGTAACTTGACGTGCCATGATTTCTGAAGGGCCATATCTGTGTCAAAGTGCCTTCTCTAAGCAGGTGAAGGAGGTAAACACTGTCCCAGGGCCCCGTGACAGGTAAGAGACGGCCGCTCCCAAGGCAGTGGATCTCCATGGAGGTTGCCTTGGCCCATACGGTGAAGACTGCCTCCCTGCAGATAGGGTTGTGGTGTCCTGCTGGCTGCAGGGAGGTGGCCTGTGGCCCAACCAAGCCTTGCTCCAGCCAAAAAGCCTCACCTGCCACCTGCTGTGGGTGTCCCCACCGCATTAGAAACTTATGTGTGAAAGGAAAAATAAGATTAATAAGGAAGAACCACAGGGTGGAGGGGAGTTCAACCCACCCTGCCCGCATCCCGCAGCGCGGAAAGGAGCGGTGGGTGCACAGGCCCACCACACCAGGCCACAGCACCGGCCCTGGGGAAATGGCAGTAGGGCCCTCCCGCGGCGCGACCCCTCGACGACCGAGGGGGTCCCCGTCCCCTCACGGCGAGGCGGGGCTGGGGGAGCCCCCTTCCCCCCCAGAGAGGGGGCGCCTGCTGCAAGGGGGGGCCGTGTCCTCTCGGGGTGAAGGAACCAAGAGCGGGCCGGGGGCCAGGGCGCCCGCCCTGCCTTAGGCGTCCCCTCCCGCAGCGCCGCCACTGGGCGTCGGCCTCTTCCGCCTCCCGCCGCGGCCCGCAGCTCTGCCCCGCCCCGAGCGGCGGCGGCGGCGGGCCGACCCCCGGGCCGGCCCG